TGTGTGTTTGTCTCACTGCACCATGACAGTGTGTGTGTGTGTGTGTGTGTGTGTGTGTGTGTGTGTTTGTGTCACCGCACCATGACAATGTGTGTGGTGTGTGTGTGTGTGTGTGTGTTTGTGTCACCGCACCATGACAGTGTGTGTGTGTGTGTGTGTTTGTGTCACCGCACCATGACTGTGTGTGTGTTTATGTGTGTGTTTGTGTGTGTGTCTGTGTTACCGCACCAGGACAGTGTGTGTGTGTGTGTGTGTTTGTGTGTGTGTCTGTGTTACCGCACCAGGACAGTGTGTGTGTGTGTGTGTGTGTTTGTGTGTGTGTCTGTGTCACCACAACATGACAGTGTGTGCGTGTGGGTGTGTGTGTTGTGTTTGTGTGTGTGCGCCTGTGTGCCTGTGTCACTGCACCATGAGGGAGACTGTGTGTGTGTGTCACCTCATCATGAGAGTGTGTGTCATGGACATACAATTAATAACATCTGATCTTATTGTTATGGTTATTATATAATTGTTATATATTATTATTACTTAATAACTTATTATAGATCCACGGTGTGTGTGCATGTGTGTGTGTGGGGTGTGTGTGTGTGCATGTGTGTGTGTGGGGTGTGTGTGTGTGTGCATGTGTGTTTCAAAAGAGTGCAAAGACAATACTTCTCCTTTAAGTATCATTATATCACCTGCCTAAAATAAAGGTGCACTCAGGCCTGTGTGTTGCATATGCGTGTGTGTGTGTGTGTGTGTGTGCGTGTGTGTGCGTGTGTGTGTGTGTGTGTGTGTATGTGTGTGTGGTCAGTGCAGTTTAGAGATTACTGCTTGAGGTGAGGCAAACTGACAACAGCTGCTGACAGGCTGGCCACATGACATTGATTTATTTTTGATTCTGGCCTAATACCCTTTCCTCAGCCCATAACTTACACACCCACGTGCACACACGAGTCGGGATGATTGATATAAAAGCTGTCATTCTCCCGCCGAGGCTGTCAGGCTTCTCTTATCTCCATGGCGACGCGGTGACAGGGCTCCATCCATCCCAAACGCTCTGACACACAGATACACAACACATGTAGGACACAGAGCAGCTCACCACATCATAATAATGACATTTTAAATATTTATTTGGGATTTGCCGGGTTTGGAGGACTATCTTTTCCCTTTAGGCCCATATTTTATTTTTTACAAATGTAGGTAACTTGAGCTGGTTTCTGCATGGATTTTAAAAGGAAATGGATGCCTCTCTTCACTTAAATTAGGGTAGATAAAATTCACCAGTCCAATTTTTTATTTTTTTTTAACAAATGTAGGCAATTTGAGCTGTCTGTGTCTGCATGATTTTTTTAAAGGTCCTATATTACACAAATAGTGAGCTTTAAGTCATGTTATAATGCTGTTAACTTATCAAAAACATACCTGGAGTTTTGTTTCATTCACACATGTTTGAGTAAACCTTTATTATTAGTCTGTGTACTTCTCCAAAGCTCAAAATGTGATGTCATGCAGTGGTTTTCAAGATAACAGCTCCTTTCACCTTAGATTCACCTCAAGATTGACAATTCCAAGACTGAAAGCATCCAAACAATTCTAGTGAAGGTGTGTGGAGTTTAAATACACTGTGAAGCACTTCCTGTATCACCACATGACATCACAAGGTGGAGTGTTTTCTGTTTGAGAAAAGAACTCTACAGAAACCTAAATATGCAGGATTTGTGTGTTAAACATGTGAAAGAAACAAAACACAACTCCAGGTCTGTTTTTGATGAGGAAACAACATTAACATAGATCAGAAAATAGAGTAATATGGCCGTTTAAAAATGTATACTTCTCTTTACTTAAATTAGACCAGTTAAAATTCCCCACTTCCCTATAATAATTATAGGTTTTAATTATATATTTTTGTAAACATTTGGTATTGGCATGAAACAGAATTTCACTATGGAACTTTTCTTGTAGAGTCGCCTGTCTTCGCTGTTGCCTGGAATGTTCTGCAGCATGGCATTAGACTTAAGATGTTACCAGGCTAAATTACAGGTCAGATTTGTGATTTTATATTTTTATTTTATTTTATTATTTTTTATTATTATTATTATTTTTTTTTTTTTACTGTTTTTTTTTTAATTTAATTTATTTATTATTTATTATTATTATTATTATTATTATTATTATTATTATATTATTATTATTATTATTATTATTATTATTATTATTATTGTTATTATTATTATTATTATTATTATTGCATTACACAAGTTTTGTAAGCACAGTATTATGTTAAAATTATTTCAACTTGTATGTACCTTATTGTTTTGTAAATGAGCAAGCGCAATTATTATAAACAAAATTGTGAATTATGGCAGTGAAATATGAGCAAGATAGATCTGTTTAATGCCATACTGTGCAACATTCTAGACCTAACATCTCCATGGTGACAAGATAATAAGGGACCTCCACTGGAAAGGTTAGAGTGCACATTTAAGAGTTGCTTGAACGAGATACAGTAGATTGTATGCATATATATTTTTTAAAAAAGATTTTAAAATAGATCCAAGCTGTTTTCTCAGGATCAACTCGCTCCAAATTACACCGGCCGCTTACACAGAACTCCTCTAAGATTTTATATCGAGTTGCTTCTTATTAAATCAACAGGTCTATTGTTTTTGAGACAAGAAAAACAAGAGAAGTGATGTCAAAATTGTACGTAACGCTTTTCTCCACTGTAAGCAACGTAACAATACCACCCTCTAGTGGACATGTTGTGAAACTACAACAAAAACCCAAGTACGATTGATTTTTGTTCAATCTCTTAATTTACCTGAAATCTCATAAAGACCAAAACAAGACAATAAAAAATATATGTAAGTGAAATATTAAGTGAAATATAAGTTAAATAGTTTAGTCTGCCATATGTAGTTAGATACAGTGTTAAATGGAATTGACTGTGAGGATTTTATGCCGTTTTAGTAGTTATTTTTGACCTTTCCCATTAAATTATATTATGCCAGGCCTATAGCCTAAAGCCTATAATCTCTTAAATGTGCACTAAGAAATTTGTGAGTGGTATGGATAAAGCAATAGCCTCAAACAAGAGAAACAGAGCAGTTATGCAAAAATGAATCATCTAAGTTAGTTCATTATCGTCTTCATTTGTAGGCGAACTTGTTACATACAATAACAGAAATAATAGGCTATTTGATTTAAGCACTTCACCACATCTTAAGCCTTTAAAAACAATGATTTAAAATGCTGAACCCACACGGCCTTAGGTTTGACCGTTATTGTTTGCATAGCTCTTAGCAAGGTCACTAGCAGCTCACACAAGTATCTGTGTTTGGCAAACACATTTGTATTGAGATTAGAGCACACCCTCTAGTCAAACTTTCAACAACTCAGCCACTTAGATCTTGTGCAAAGGAGGAATTTCTGAGCAATGGCTCCTGATAATATTGAGCTCCCAAGCTGATAAAATATAGGTTATATAGGCTGACCCACACAGAAACTCAGTCCAGGTCAAAGACCAATGTAACAAGTGACATTTCTGGAGTCTAGAGATGTTAAAACTTTGCCTGGAATGTTTCACAGTATGGCTTTAACATATCTTGTATTTATTCATTTACATACTTTTTGATGTAATTAAATACATTCTGTGTGACTTTGCCTTGCGTAATGAGAATTTAAATACAGTTTTCACAATATTAAGTTTTTGTGTAACATTCTGAGGAAAAGGAATACAATGATTAAACACAACAGTGAAATCCTTAATTTTCTTTTCGAAATTTCGACTGAATTAAATGATTTACTGTGGACAAAAAAAAATCTCACAATTATAATTTTTAGGTCTTGTTAACCAAACAATTTTGACATTTCTATTTGAATAATAATAATAATAATAATAATGGCCTAAAGTGAATTTTCCAGGACTTTGTGGCACCTACATGAGTAGAATTGAGCAGGACTAAAAATGAAATGTTAACCCTTTCCATTCACCTCATGGTTTGGTTTTATAGTTTATAAACATTCAAAATACTGTCAGTGCATTTATTGTCATCTATTTTAAACAAAAGGTGCACACGTTCGGAAATAATCATAATACCCTAATGATAATTTAACAGAACGCTGTAGCTGTGTGAAAGAGATACTGAACTTCCATGACTTTCCCTTTGAATTTACAAATTTCCATGACTTTTCCAGAATTTCCATGACTGTGGGAACTCTGATTTACATGCTTTTTGTTGCCATTAAATACATTCTATGTGACATTGCCTTGAGTAATATAGGAAAAAGATTACAATGATTAAACGCTGTTAATGAGTGAAATCCTTAATCTTCTTTTCATTTTAGGTTGACTTTTTTGGAGTATAAATTGATTTAAATGACTTACTGTGGATTAAAAAACTCTCACAATTACAAGCTTTAGGTCTTGTTAACCAAATAATCTTGACATTTCTATTTGAATATATTTTTTTTACATTTCTATTTGAATTCGAGGTGGATTTAAGAAAGACTGTCGCACATGAAGATCACAAAAGTCTGATACCATAAATAATATCCACTGCTCACATTTTTCCTAATTGTGTCTTGTGTAACAAAAGAGTTCCCAATTTGGCCAATGGCGACAACAAAAGCAAACAACTTCACAAAGGTAAATTAAACATAGCTGGATGCTTTTGACTTTGTGTGTGAGAGGTCTGTGGGCCCCTGCAGGCTGCATGAATAATTAACAGCGGGCCGGGGTGTTGTGTTACTCCGCCTCACTCTGCGCTGGGATACAACATTAGCTAACCCTATCTATGTGCATGCGGCTTTGCACTTGGCTACTTTTTCTACCATTTGATACCTGTAAAACCTCCCACTGCAGAAAGCTTATACATCCCCTATCAAAGTGACACTGCGGCTTCAAGTGCAATATTGAACAAGTCAGCCCACAAAACATGGATTTCCAGATCTTTGTTAAGCGTTTTTTGGTTTTCATGAGTAACCGTGTAATAAAATAAGTGACAATGGCGTCTGCAAACGTTTTTTTTTAATGCAGTATTAGTTTTTTTTTTACACTGTTCTATGTACAACATGGGACTCTTACAACAATCAATTTAGGGAATTTTATAACCTAGAAATAAAAATCTAAAAAAGGCAAATAAAGCTATCAAGTTTAAAAACTACAAGGACAAAAGAACTAAAGGGAAACAAATGTGTCAACTTAATACACAAAATGTAAAAGAAGGTTGACAAAATGAATGAAAGATAACAAAATACAAGACAAGCTCACAGTGAATACTGAGAAAAACCTGCTTCATCGAGACTCTGTTCATAGCTTAAGTGACTGATGTAAAAAACCTCTGATTCCCAGCTGTCTTTGAGGATGTTGAGGTGAAAATTCAAGTATGCAGTGAAGTCCTTTTAGTGTCAGCTGGGTTAGGTTATTCTCAGCCATTTTGACAGCTCACAGAGAATGAAAAGCTGAACCTGTGGGTGTAGAGTGCGTGTGTGTGTTTGGGTGGCCATGCACGCTCAAGTGTTGGATAATCTCTTTTCAGCCACTGAGGTACATTTGGCGAGAGATTGGAGCGCGTCTTTGCTGTGCTTGCCACCTCTGCTTGATCTGCATTAAGAATTAAGACATGGCATCTTAACGCTGGCAGCAAAGGAGACGAAAGAAGCTACGGAAACAAGCTTTAAACTGTGTGTACAAACTATTCATGTATGTCTATTTGTTCTAAAATTACTGCTTTTACATCAAGAATCATTCCCATTACAAAAGACATTTTATGTGAAACATTTTATGAACTATTTTACACCCTCATTCTAATCTGAAATAATTTACTCTCAAAAGTATTTACTCCAACAAGTCTTACCTCAGTTTAAATTAACACTTGAAATAAAACAAAAAAACAAGATAATGGCAATCTAATGACGCACTAATTAAAAAAATAAGAGTGTTACTGAGTGGATATTAAATGGCTTTAGTTTCAAGGCCATTTTGTTTTGGTTGTAACCACAGACCGTGTCTATCTTCTTTCGTACAGTCTATGGTTGTAACAGTCCACAGTATCCGTGGTAGATAATGCTTTCGATTAACTGATAAACACAAAAGAATGCAACAATAACCACAGTAAGAGGCCAGACCTGTTTTTGTGACTAGAAAGCAGTCACTGGTTGGCACTACTGTGTGAAAAACATTTCTTCATTACAAGACAATTCAAACTGAAATGAGGACCACCATGAATACTGTGGATCTGTGTGTCCTGTAACAGAACACAGCGATGCTAATCTGAGCTCAGAGATGGGAGTGTACTGCCATTACATCTGAGAAAAACAAAATAAATTATTCTTTTAAAGCATAGGTTAGAAAGACTTAACATTAAAATGCATTTGTACAGAAATAAATAGATTTCACCTTTATTTACAGTGTGCCATCTACTGATCTGAAACAGTGTTTAAGTTAAAAATTCTAAGGATTCCAGTTATACTTGTGAGGGTAGAAGATTGGCGCTCTGAACTTGCCTCCGCTGTGAGGGAACAAGAAGACATCAGGGAAGCTGTCAGAGAGAAAGTGCACACACTCTTTTCTCCCATGTGTTGTGTCCTCAGCAACTTTCCTAATTAGTTTTGTGGAGCTTTAGCTGCTGCTGTTAAGGTTTATTTTGTCTCACTCACACATCCACACAGACCTCACAATGCACTGCGTCCTACACGATAACATTTAGGAGGAGGCCTTTTGACGCAGAACTTTGAACTGCAGCTTTGTCTTCAAACTTTTTGCAAACCATTAAAGCGACGCTAGAGCAGTGTCTTTGGGCCACGTCCTCCTGCTCCTTGTGGCCGACTGAAGTATTAATTGCTCTTCTTTTCACTTTTTATGGAACCATTACGTTTGTGTTTGCCGTTGACCAGCGTTTCACTGTGGCAGTGTCCATTCATCTGACTCCCCTCTCCACTGGTAGCAGCTCCTCTCCTCTTCACGTGTGTGGTTTTGCCCCTCAGGACTCGGCTTATTCGAGACAGTGCAAAGACGAGCAGTGTCCCCGCGGCGGCCACAGTGAAGACCACGTCTAAGAGGAAGTACTGGTACACGGACACGTCATATACAGCAGCGCGCAGGTGACTGGCCCCATTGTGACGCAGGATGTAGCAGATCCAGTAAACAGCCCGGGTGACAGGGTGACCTGGCTGGTCCTTGTGAATGGTGGAGAGGAGGTGCGCCTGCTCGCGGTACCTGAAAGAGAGAGAGCTTTAGTTCACTCTGCTTTTCTACAAACCTGAGTGGGAGATGACGAGGCCAGACTGGAGCACATACTTGGAGTCTTTAATGACACTTGTGAGAGCGGTGTACAGGTCGTCTTCACTCATTGATTTCCAGTGCAGCATGATGCCCATTCCTTTAGCAGCTACTCGCGTCATGGTGTCGTAGTGGTCTCCAAACAGAGGGACCCCCACTACAGGGACCCCGTGGTACATGGCCTCGTAAATACTGTTGAGACCACCGTGACTCAGGAACGCTCTGGTGTTGGCATGGCCTGGACAGAGGAGTAACAGAAAGTGTGATGAAATTGTAAAAGTACCTGTTCTTCCACATTGCTGTGTCACAAAATGTGTCAACAAACAAAGGTGGGGCTGGCATGAACACTATTTATCTTAACAGGTGACCGCCAGGCTAAGTTACATATCAGATCTGTGCAGAGGCAATCCACAGTAACAAAGCATAATTTACAAGAATTTTTTTCCACCACAAAATTATATGGTGCACCTTTAAATATGATGTCACTGTAAAGTATAACCGTTTATAACTTAGAGGCTTATAAAAACAGTGTAAGACTTTAACTTGATGACATATCTTGTGCAACAATGATTTATTTTCACATGGATTACAAAATTAATGTGAAAGGTTGATTGTGCTGCACCTAATCTGAAACTACTCTAAAAACATATGAGCTATGTGTCATGACATGCAGCTGGACTGTTAAAATCAGGTTTGGTGAGACGTGTGGTGAAGTGTCAGGTAGGTTCAATTCCAGCAAAATAAACTGAAAAAGAACATCAGCAACTCTTCTATTTTCTTTTTTTTTTTTTTTTTTTGGAAAAACGGTAACGATGTGAGTACGAACGCACCTAAAAGGTCATTCTGAGGCATCCAGTCCACCAGCTTGGTGTTGTTGCCAAGGTTACGAGGTGGAACTCCAGAGAATCTGCAGAAAGAAAAACAGAAAAAGACGTTCATCATCAAGTCTTTCATCTTCTCCCTTTCGTTTGGGTTGTCACAGGAAACACATGGCATTTATTAGATTTATTAGAGATGTAACAATAACAGAAATATCTCAAAAGTATCGCAGTAATATCATGGGCCATAACAACATACTGAATTACAAGTCTCTTTGCTTATGTCTACGTATACAATGAACCTTGATCCATTTTAATGCACACTACATTAAGAATCTTAAGAATTTTAAATCTTAACTAAAGGGAATTTTAAAGACATTTTAAAAGGAAAAAGCACAATATTCACAATTGTGTTGGCATCCAGCAATAGCAGCAATAAATAAAATGCCTTCAGATGTGTATTGAGAAAACATTGTACCAAGAGATTTAGATATCGTTACATCCCTAGTACTTTAGTAGTTTTTTTGTAAAAGCAAACAGATATTTTGTTTAAAGATCGACCGATATGACTAAAACTAAATATTGGCCTGTGTTGGAGATTTTAGGTCAATAGCTAAATTCAGATTCACAGTTCAGATCTGTGGAGAGTAGGGCTGGGTATCATTAAGAAGTTGCTGATACGATACATATCTCGATACAGCACACTTTTGGTTCGATATGATATATTCCAAATTGATTCGATATGGTTCAGTAAAAAATAAAGGCTAAATCTTGGCTGTGATACTAAAAGTCTTTGTTAAACCACTTCTTGTACAAAGTTAAGATGAAACACAAACATTTTAAACCTGAAAACAGTGAAAATGTCAAATGTGTCGCATAAACGAGTTTCCTTTCACTAAACAAGCAACAAATCTGTAGCACTGTAACAAAAATAATTTTGTAAAATATACCAAAAAAATACTCCTGGCAATATATCGATACAGCAGCCCACGATATCAATACTGTATCATCACATGAAGCGATACGATATATTGATATTTTGATATTTTTGAACACGCCTAGTGCAGAGTCCTTATTCACATAACGAACTATTGTATTTTTGAGCAACAAAAACACCTGCAATGAATAAATGCTAGATGAATATGTTTAATACCATGGAATATTCCAGACAAAGCAATAACACATCCACGGAGATAAGCAGGTAGCAGATCCTCCACCGGAAAAGTTACACAGCGCACCTTGAAGCGAAATGACGTTTGCTGCAGTTACACACTAATAATATATTCACAGCATTCACAACTATATGAGGCACGTTTAGACACGACGGTCACAATAATGACTATACTGAGTAATCGTTATGAAATGAAAAATTAAACAATCATTTTTCAAGGTGGATATATATCACTTAACTTTTTATTGCATTAGTGGGAACATATTTGTACGATAAGATGAGAACTACAGAGAGTTGAATAATTAACATCTATGACTCATTATATTACACATGAACTTCCTCCTAAAGTGTGTCATTCTACTATTTATGTAATGCAATTAAACCATATTACACATTCAGAGTATTTTTTTTTTGGTTATAGTTCTATTTTGGGGTAATTGTGTCAGTGCCATAAATCATTTTCTGCATTGTCACCTATTTTTCCTTCAGCATTAAATCTCACTTGACAATCTGTTATCGTGACAGGCCTGCATTTTCCATCCTAACTCGTCAATACGTTTATCCCTTTCTGACAAAGCATCAATTCACTGTCCTCCGATGAAAGCCGACATTCAAGCGGACGATTATCAATGACACAATTCATAGGCAGAGTCCCCAACCTCCGCTCCGCCCATTTCACTTCCTGACCGTGGAAAACGAGCGCAGGATTTTTAAGAGAACACACGGAGATGAAGCAATAAGCAACACTGAATTTAAAGTCAAGGCCAGAAACACAGAAAACAAACAGCCCACAGTGGGTTCAGGACAGGCGCATGCATTCAACTGATACTGATCAACGCTCCCTGGGGGTGTGAGGCTAACTGAAAGCTCTACTCTGTCTGAAGCTTTGTTACGCAAGTTTGTCAGAGCTTTGTTTTAACACAATCTGACCATAAAGAATTGTTTTAGTCGGAACTACAACAGGTCAGATGATTAAGCAAGTCTCTCAAACATAAAACTACAGTCACGGGTTTTTCAGTTTCAGTTGGTCACTCTCACCTTTTTGTCGAAGCCCAAACACTTAAAAACAGAAATCAAACGCTTGTATTGATCGCAGGCTCCTGAGAATATGATGTTTAAATCCATTTTGTATGTTTTTCTTCAGTTTTCAGACACTCTGGCTCTGTTTGCTCTGTGTGCATTATGTCGCCATGGTAACTGCTGAACATTCCTCCGTAGAAAGCCTATGCAGAACACCCCAGTATGCTGTCACGATATCCAAGTCTCACAATACGATATTGTCACGGTACCATATTTAATGCGATATCGTAGGGAAGCTCACAATGTAACAATATCCAAATCTCTCGGTACGATATTTTCACAATATACATCTCACGGTACGATATTTATTGTGATATTTTGTGAAAGCTAACAAAACTGTGAATGCCTTGACAAGACTTAATCCAAAAAAACTAAGACTTAAAAGTGCTTAGAACTGTTATTTCTATTATCCATTATAGTCTACACTGAAATGGAGCAAAGGATCATGGTCTATGTAGTTCCCTCTGTCCATAACTCTTAATTTAAGCAAAGAGACTTGTAATTCGATATATTGTGATGGTCCACGATATTATTGTGAGAACTTTGATGATGCAATATCAAGATATTTTGGTTAATGTTACATCCCTAATTAATAATCATAAGACTTTAGGCCATTTCTTTGTTACAGATCACGTCACAACATTTTATAGTTAGATAATAATTAATACAGATGGGGGCAGAAAAGCACATTGGGTCTAGTACTGAGTAAGGTCATGTTAAACATGAATGAGTTTACCTTTTTGCTATTTCATGTAGTACCAGGAAATTGTTCTCTTGCTATCATCTGATCTGTGTTTTAATGCTGTTTCCTCATCACATTTATACCTCGAGTTGTGTTTTGTTTGCCTCACTCACACAGGCTTGAGTTTGGATCATTTTATCTTTGAAAACTGCCAATCTCTACTAAACAAAAGGTAAAAGGAGCTGCTAACTTGAAACTTACTACTTCATGACATCACAAGGTTTTGGAGATGACTAATAGCGCGGGGTTACTCACTCAAACTCAAACTCAAACAACTCCAGGTATGTTTTTGAGGCGGTAACAACAGTGTAACATGGCTTAAATTTTACGCAATATAGGCTTTAAATTCTGCGGGAGGGGGCTTTAAAAGGGGCTTAAAAAACCCGGGGAACCTGCGCATTAAAGCTCAATGATGACATCACTGTATTTCACTGTTTGCTCAGAGGCCGAGGCAGAGTGCACCCAGCCTCATGAAACATTAACTCAGGGGCACTAAGTGCTTATAGACCAATAAGCCTAAGAATGGGATGTTCAGCCTGAAACGCCATGACTGTTTTGCTGGTGTTGCTTTCGGAATTACCAACCACCTTGAACGCAACACACGTGACTAAAAGCGTGACTGATTCTAAGATGAAGCTGTTCATTAATCTTTATTTAAGAGGTGTATTCTTGCTGTTCAGTGCTGTGTTAATAGGTTAAGGGCTTTGGAACTCTGGGTAAATTATAACTTCTGATTAGATTTCAAACACACTTATCACTGTCAACTCTGCAACTGTAGCAATAAACACCCAATCCTGTCTTCGTAATATATATATTTCACAACTTACACTACATTTGTGGTCATATAAGTGAAGGCGTGGGTTTATATGACCTAAAATTACAGTTGTAGAAAGTAGTTCAGGACAGTTACTCCGTGTAGTCATTCATTCATTCATTCAAACGGGAGTGGTCCAAGTTTAAAAAGGTGTCAAAGGTTGTTATCTGGACTTTTTGTTGTTGATTTTTATTGTGACGATTCACCTGCCATTCTTACGTCACTTTTCAGTCGCAAAGGACCAACCTGAGAAGTTAGTTCAAGATAATCTCGATATCACTAGAGATTTCAATGGAGAGTGTTAAAATCAACAAAGGCTTGGTTCACTGACAGTATAAAGAGGTGAACTAAGGGAGTGTGACGTCACCCATAGTGTTCATCTCCAGGCAAATGAAGCTCACAGAGGCCGGCGATCATAGGGGAGAATTTGGGGCCAGTTCCAGCCAGTATAGGAATAGGAATACAGCGAAATAAAAAACACCAGGATCATGTAGAGAAGGATAATAAGAACATTTTAAGACCAAGATGAGCAGCGTGTTACAGAGAGAGGGGCATTTTTTCCCAATACAAAGTCAACTGGAGCCACAGTCGCAGCTAGCAGGACATGTCAATTTTTTAGTCTATGGCCACGTCTCATTTCTCTTTCCTCGCTTCCTTCTCCTTGATTCCTCTCCTCGATTCTGCAGGAAATGAGTGAGGACCAAGGCTGTGCAATTCATTGAATTTTGATTGGGATTTCAATTTGTGTGTCAAACAATCTCCAAACTCATAGAATCGAGCTTAACAATGTTTATTTTTGGATATTTTTAATATAAATAAGTATATTTATTTTACTTTTTTAATATAGAGATTGTAGAACAGCTAGATATATAGTTTATTTTGGATATATTTATGTTTTTCTATGCCTAATTTCATGTTCAAAGTATATTTTATTCATTTTAAGTTTTATACATCGCAAAACTGCTCTAAGGTTCAGATTTGTAGCCTGTATTTATTTTCAATTTGAAAGTTTTGCATAAATTATTAATAACAAAGAGTTGAGAAATGTTGAATAAATGAATTGTGTAACTAAAAAATAATAGTTTAAAAAAATCGTGATTTCAATGTTGACCAAAATAATCTAGATAATGATTTATTCTGATGTCTGCCTCCTGAATCCTCCCTCATGTTTACTCTTTCCTTCTGTTGTTTTCTTTGGGACGTCATTTAATAAGACACATTTGATTGACAGCTGAACCATCGAGGAGATCAAGGAGAGAAATCAAGAAAGCGAGGAAAGAGAACTGAGATGTGGCCGACGATTTGGCTAGTGCGTTACCTCCAGACGACGCGCTGGGGCAGTCGGGCCAGAGCTCCAGCCAGTTTGTGTGCGATGTCATGGGAAAGGTACTTCACCCCAGCTCCAAAGGACACCACCACAAAGCCGTGCTCCGCTGTGTCATTCACCCAGGCCTCAAAATCCTGGCAAACAAGAGAGGGAAACATGTTTACAACAAATACAAAAAATAAAAACTAATTAAAATGTTAATAATAATTAAACTATAATATTTTCTTTGAGGTCCTTTTCAAGATACTCAAAGTCACTGTACAACATTTCAAAATACAACACACAATTAAAAGGTATAGAAAACAACTACAGTAGAATACAGTAAAATACATCATGTTAAATTGTTAAAAGATAAAGCTACATTTACAAAGGGGGCACAGAATAAGTTTGTCTGAACAAGTGGGTTCTGAGCAGGGATTTGAACTGGGTTAATGACTGACAACAGAGCAGAGTGAATGAAAGCTCTGTGGTGGTGAAGTGAGCAGGTGGAGTGTGGAGAAGGTCCTGGGAAGAGCTATCAAGGTGTTAATAGTCCTATATTGCTAGATTTTTTTTTTATTATTAGTCTGTCTACATCTCCAAAGCTCAAAATGCTCTGTTCCACCTTGTCATGTCATGTAGTGGTAGTTTTCAGGTTATCTTTTACCTTTTGTTCAGTGGAGACTTGCAATTCCAAGGCTGAAATCATCCAAATGATTCTAGTGAACATGTGTAGAGTTTAAAAACACAGTGGAGCTCTTTCTGTATTACCACATGGCATTAAAAGGTGGAATAGAGTGTTTTCTGTGTTTCTGAGAGAAGAGCTCAGTCTAAATATGCAGCGTTTGTGTTAAACATGTGAGAATGAAACAAAACTTGTTTTGATGAGGAAACGACAACGTAAAATAGATCAGAAAATAGTGTAATATGGGCCCTTTAACATGTGGACTTACCAACTTTATCTGTGTAAATGAATCTTTGTTTGTAACCTCACAGATGATAATGCAAGAGGAGCACTTGTGACAAAATCAGACTGGTGTGAAAAAGCAGCTCTAAAGTTGCACACACCCAAATATTCATGTCAATACTAGCGCTGTGCCAAAGGGTTTGAGTTTAGTTCTGGGAAAGAGTTAGATAAAGTTATAAACCAACGTCTTCTTTTCATGGTTTGATAAGACAATCATTTTACAAAAACAGATGTATACACTTGAAATCTGAGAATAATACATCTGTGTTACCCAAGCCAAAGAAGATGTTCCCCTCAAAACATGATGGGTCTGGACCAGTGGTTTTGAAATTTACACAGCCATCCAAACCATATTTCATTACATTTATAAACATGTGTTCTTACAAGCCCTCTTATAATTATTAGACAGTATCATTCTTTAAACACACAGATACTATTGATGCTGAAATGTGTGGTTGGGAAAACATGACAGTGCTGCATTAGGGCATGTGTGGGCCTGGAGGACGTTTGCTCGTGAGTGGTTTACTCTGGAAAGGCCTGTGTCAGTCCCCACAAGCACCAGATGCACAGAAGCTTAAGAAGTTCCAGGAAATATGCCTGTTATAAATGAGTTGTGTATCATGGTGCACAAAGAGATGAGTATGGGCGTGCAAAAGAGATAACATACTGTTTAATTTGATGATACAGTATTGACATTATGGGCTCCTCTATTGATAAATCTAGAAGAGTTTGTTTTGTATATTTAATTTTGTTGCTTTGTTATGTAATACTTTGGACATTTCCACTGTTTTGATCATTAAAATGGGTGTGCTTCATATTAACTTTGCACAGATAGTGATTGGACAGTATCACAGCCACGATTTAGTAGTTATGTAGTTAGAGCTGTTAAACTGCACATGTCCCAGTCCCTGTCCAAGTTGAACATGTGATCAATACAACAACATTTTCTTGTTAGTCACATGCACTAACCTGAAATCACTTCATTATGTTCATTAACCTTCAATAAATGGAAAATAAATGCACCATTAATGTTTTATTATAACTAATAAAAGCATTAAAGGTGCATTAATGGGGTTGCTCTTTTGACTGTTTTAATATTTCTTCTGTAAAGCATCTTTGAGTGTCCTGAAAGCGCTATATGAATAAAATGTATTATTATTCATTATTATATTGTACTGGATGCTAAAACCCGTAGAGATGAGACAGGGCACAAGTCTAAAGGGGTGAAGGGTGCCCCGGGGTAAAGAGGGTCAGATCCGCCGATGTGCAAAGGACAAATGGGGAGAAGCAGAGCCGGCTCCAGCTGCAGACGCACACTGTCCCTCTGTGTCCTCTAAGCCCAGCCTCCCTGACCCCACACAGGGCCTCAGTGTGGCCTGTGTCTCTCTGTGCCCATGGCCCGCTCCAGGACAATGGACGCCTTTTCCCTGCACTTCCATTAGGACTCCTTCCACACAACTCGCACAATGCGCCCTATTGGCTCAAGTGGCATTCCAGCACCCCCCGCAGCAGATACCAGGGTCCTGTGCTGTGGATGTGCCCATCACCATAGGCCTCTGCCTCCAGCACGCCTCTGCGATCTGCTCTGAGTCCATTCAGCTCACTCCCATTCTCACAGAGGAGGCTTTTTGTGCTGGGTAACAATTATGGACACTGAATGATAAGTAATAAGAAGAAACAATCTACAGCACATTTACAAATATAAACAAATGTCAGCTAAGATACACAAAATAGTGACAATAAAATGATGTATTTCAACTGGAAGCCAGAAGCATCAACATAAAAATAAGCTTCCAGTTCCAGTGTATGCAGATGTGTGGGAACTGGGCATGTGATCCCAGCTTTTGTCCAATGAGATGCATGTTTGCTGAGAGTGTGTGAGCACTGACCTCGGGCAGGGGGCTGGGGGGCTTGGTGAGGATGCCCCCGATGTAGACCACATGAGGGAGAGTGGGCCGGGGGAACTCCAGAGCCAGGTCAGTGCACAGCATCCACAGGCGACTGCCCTGCACCAGGTCGCTCATGGCAACCTGAGGCTGCACGCCGTATTTCTGCATGATGCGGTCGTACTTTGGAAGAGCTATGTACTGCACCCCGATTCGCTGTACGAGGTAAACGGCTGTGTTGGCGATGCGCTCCAGTAGTGTCATGCGGTCTGTCAGCAGAGAGTTGAATTCTGGGACATAGGAGAGAGGAGCTGGGGCGCCCGCTTCAGCTGGATACCACAGGCCTGTCCCAAACACAGCATACTGCACGCCCAGAATGTGTGCAATCACAAACCCGCACATTTCATTGGGGTCCACCAGCAGGAGGTCAAACTGGGCTTCTTTGAGGCGTGTCATGACCTCCACGCTGCCCACCACCGCGTCACAGTTCTGAGAGTAGTGATCCAGGATGTCAAAGAGCTCCAGGAAAGTCAAGCGGCCTGAGAAGATGTTGTTGACTTTGGACTGGAGGAAAGAGTCTGCAGTGCTGCTGTTAAAAATCCCTGGGTAGCGCTGTAAATGGTAGTGAGGAGAAGGTGGGATCTCTCGACCCTCTGATACCAGGAAGTGGGTCTCGTGGCCCTCCTGGTGCAGAGCCGTGGCTAAAGTCTTGAATATGTACAGGTGCGACTCAAACATGATGGGAGGGACCACGATGACTTTCCCCGCCCACGATGAGGGACCCCACAGGAGCAGGGCGAGGAGCAGCAGCATAGGTGAAGGCAGACGCATGGCTGTAATCACAAACACGACACTCATGTTAAACAGCAGCAAGACACTGTGATCTCTGTAATGAGCTACGCACAGCGCACTTTCTCAGACACTCATCATCAATATTATTACTATTTACACATGCTCGCTTTGATGTTTAAACAGGGAATGAAAAATTATCTGTATTACAACACATACATTGTACAGTATGTGTATTAAAACTCCTTTGTCAAATAAGCCTCTGTGTTCAGGCCTGTGTGGCTGCTCAGTCTGAGCAGAGCAAACACTGGACTGGTGTGGGCAGCACCAGCGTCATTCTGCCTCTGTTCACAAAGACAACACAAAGAGACCTTATCAGGATGCCCTAATTATTATATCACCATTATGTTAGAAGTGTCACATACGCTGAAATACATTCAGCAACATCAGTTTGAACTCTAAAAGTATTTAACAGAGAAGATTATGGATTTTCTCACCCACAGTCTAAAAACAAGCTAAACAGTAGTTTGTTATTACAAATCAGCCTTTTTGCTTGTTTAGTATTCACAATATCACATAAAATGTACTGAACCATTTACAGTGAGAAGCACTGCATCACGTTTTACTCCAACAAACTGTAATAAATAAATGTTTTCAAATAAAGGTCACCTGTGCCACCAGAGACTTAGCAGAATGTTTGGGAAACTGACCGAAATAACAGAGGGCTGGGCAATTAATAGAAAGATCAGGATCCAGACATGTCTAATCGTCAATGAAAAGGTTGGGTTTTTTCAGTCTTCTGTCTGTAAAAGCATGTGGTTTGGAGCAGAGTTCAGACTTTGAAGGAAGAAGTTTGATTATTTGTTGTGTTAAATGGCACAGATTAATGTATAGTACTATTGTCTGTAGGTCTGTAATGATAACACATATTGAAGGATGATAAATCACAACAGAGAAATATTGAGATAAACAACAGAACTGAAAGTACTTTATGCCTCTGACACAAAGCAGGATTATACCAGGAGACTAGTTTTTAAATCAACAGTATAATTTAAAGGCCTGAGCTGTGACAAATAAATAGCGCCATAGTCACCTATTCAACCTTCTACAGCTCGAATATAACCTCCATTACATATAAATGGCAAAAATCTCTCCACTTTTGCATAGAAATTGTGTACACGATAAATATTGAGCTCAAAAATATATTGCTCCATCTTTCATATATTAAACGATAAATCAGTATAGTAAGTGACAGGGCTAGTTGTCTGTATTGCTTATGTCTAGGGGTGTGCAAAAATATTGAAATATATATCAACAGGAGTATTCATTGGTATATTTTACTAAATTATTTTGTTAAAGTGCTACAGTTTGTTGCTTGTTCAGAGGAAAATTTGTTTATGCAACACATTTGACATTTTCCTTGTTTTGAGAATTAAAATGTCTGTGTTTAATATTAACTTTGCAGTGGAAGTTGAAGAGGAAGTTCCAAGTGGAAGCTGCAAGTGGTTTAACAAAAACTTTTAGTATCACAGCCATGATTTAGCCTTATTTTTTTAATAGAATCATATCAAATCAATTTGAAATATATCGTATTGAATGGATAGTGCACTGTATCGAGGTATGTATCATATCGGCAACTTCTTAATGATACTCACCCCTAGTTATATCCATGAAATCAATATTATTAGTATTTTGTTTTTGAAAAGACAAAACAAAATCGAATCAAAAATCGAGATTGATGAATATGAGGAAAAACCAATGTAGTGTTTTTGTTCCCTTATTGCTAGGCCCCAGTGACAATCTGTATACAGCTTGGGCGTATGAGGGCAATTTAACTGTCACATTAGTAAAAAAAACAGTGAATTATTACACAGAATAGATGTTATCAGATGATATTCTCAGAATTACAGCCCAGCTTTATAGCACACTGGTTCGTCATCACTAGTAAATCTTGCTATATATAACCAAATGTTTGTAGGTCATAACTACAGCAAGACTTTTCAAACGTCTTTACAGTTGTTGAATCGACTTTACATCTTACAGCCACATTATAAAGTATGTTTTTCAGTATTTTCGCATTTTCATAGACTCTTGTGCATATTGTCTTCTGTTGGGAGACGATATCTTCTCTAGGATTATGTGGTGTATTGACCATCTGCGTCCGGTGACTCTCACAAACAGCTGTGATCTGAAAAGAGACTCACGGTAGCCGCCATCTTGTTTAGCAATGTCCAGAGGATATAGCGTTACAAACACTTCGCGGGCCAGACTGTTGACTGTAGCCATGGAAACCAGCCGCTGTCTACGGAGAACTGTGGTGCATCATGACTAAAGTTACCAACAAAGGAGTCTGGTTACGGTGCCCACAGGGAGGGCTGGGGAATTATCTGATTAAATGAATTAACAGAATAAGAAAAACGGGTTGGGTCAGCTGAGGTAGACAATAATGGGACACAATATGACAGAAGCACGTGAGGATTCCACAGGTTCAATCTGAAAGGTGGATGGCATCATAAAAAGATGTTGCGTCGGAATATGCAAAAGTAAAAGGGAGGCGTGTCACAATAAGAGTCTTTGAGCGACATGAAAAGGACTATACACATGTTATGTATTAATTGTACTAATAAAAAAGGCTAAATTAACTTAATGTGTAATCAATTCAAGGTGGGACAATATTTAATATGATCATTGCTGTGCTCGACTGGGGAAGTTGTTGGTGTACTAAATGGTTTGAACTTTAGAGTGCTGAACTCTTATAACTCATTATAGATGCCAGCTTACTACTTAAATTATGTTATTTTAACAGAAATATATTTACAAAAAGAGTTTGGGATTGGCCTTCATGGTTATTGTGTCAGTGGGGCACAGATGTTTACATTTTATCATGATACTCAGCACTTTAACAAAATTATACTCTTTAAAAACACTGAAAAATGACTGAAAGAAATAGAAGCCAAATATTCAGTGTAATGTTTCAGATAGGCTTGTATCTATTGAGTATTCCTTTATCCATTATGCAATGAAAGATTTTTATAATCATAATCTTAAAATTATGTAATATCTCAGTAATATAAAGCATATACATTTATTAAGTAGAATACAACATTCTTACTCCTATGTATCTAGAGTCTCTTAATATGAAATTAGAAAAAAACAAACAATATCTTCTAAAATGTTGGAGTCCTGAAATAAAGAGAGGGCAGAGAGATCTTCTAGCGTGTGACCACATCAGGGCAGTCTGCTGGAGCTGCAGGCTCTGGCTCCAGACTTCATGCTGTCAGTGAGTTCCTGTATTTGCCAACAGCACAATGTAGTGTCTGAGTGCTCAGACTTAGTCAAAAGGGAAGAATGGTCATACGTGATGGTCTGAATTCAAGTTCACCTTAACACTTGGGTCACAGTCAGGTGTGCAGTCAAATCTATTTTAGCTCCTGATATGTTATCTAAAAAGTTTTTTTTTCTCTATCACAAAAGCATTTTTACACCTGGCAATACAGAAATATCTAAAAGTACCTGAATGAAGTAAACAAAAGTTTATGAAAAGGCAAGGTTATCAGCGTGAGACAAAGATATACAGCCTATAGTCACTTTGCACTTTCAAGACTGAATGAAGGAGAAATGTTTGAATGGGAATCTAAGGCCAAACTCGTTCTTGAAATCTGTAATAAACTGCGTAATGAATCATGTTTTATTTCAGTCATTACAACTTGTGATTCATGCACAGTGAAAGTGGCAGAACACTTAGAAGTGCACTGTGGTGGAGGGTTCACCATCTGCTTGACTCCAAGGGGATGCCATTGCTTTGTCTGGGATGTTCCACAGTGTAGCATTAAACAAATATATCTTGCATTTATTCAAATACAGGTGTTTTTGTTTTTTGTTTTTTCAGACTACACAAAAGCATTCATTACTTCTATGTGCAGGTCCACTTCTCCAGAGATCTGACCTGTAACTTGGCCTGCTTGTTTCTATAGAGGTAATTAAATTAAATACCAAACTGTGAAACATTTCAGGAAAAAAACAACATGGAGTCAAGCAGGTGGCGGACCCTTTACCAGAAACATTACACCGTGCACCTTTAACTTTCACATGAGAAACAAAAGACACATGTTTATAATGGCAACATGACCATTGTGATACCCTTATTATGTGACGCTTCATCAGCATTTTGATGGAAAAGCTCGTTGGAAAACCCATTATTATGACAAAACATTTGTCAGTGAACTACAGCCAACCATTTGATTGATAAACAGACGAGCAGTAAGACCTTCCAAAAATGCCACTTCTACTTTTTATTTTACACAGTAACAAACCAGACAGCCCTGAACTCTGATACTGAACCAACTAGGTTAAGAACACACTTTTTTCAAATAAAAGCCTGAACAAAATCTATGTATCTGTAGGGTGACTAGAATTTCAAAATAAAAAAACTGGGACATCCCTGGTTTGTGGTGGTTGGTAATAATAAAATTGTGAAAAGAGTGCATAATTAAGAAAAACTGGTATGCAGCGACCATTCATGACTAACATGTGAGCCAACATAGTCACATTTTCTTTGTGTTTTGGTCATTTTTAAACAATTTTTTTTTGTATTTTACCTAAAAAATTACAATGTATGCCTCTCTTTACTGTTGGCAGGTATCAAACTGGTCAAAAATAGGGACATTTGGCACATTTCTTGTATAAAACTAGGACAAGTCATTGTTTTTTGATAAATCCACAGGGACAGGGGACACAGGGCCAGGTAAATAGGGACGTCTGGTCACCCTAGCTAGGTATTATATTTGACACCAGTCTCTTGTACAAACATATTTTTACTTGTACATATACACTTATATAATTGTGCCTTATTTGACACCAGTGTCTTGCTATTTTTGCTACTTATTTTGAATTTTTATTACCATTTACATTTTTGCTCTTTGTTATTGTATTATACTGACGTGTGAGCTACTGTGTCCTAATAATTTCTCAAGTGGATCAACAAAGTTTGTCTAAGTCTATGCCTAAGAGCCCTTTCTCGTCATGATTAAACTAAACTAAAGTAAACTAAACTAAACTAAAGGCTACTCATATTCGATACTTTTGGCTAAGTTTCAAAATAAAAAACTGGGACATCCCTGATTTGTGGTGGTTCGTAATAATAAAATTGTGAAACGAGTGCGTAATTAAGGAAAACACTCACACTAATGTCAGTCTGTATAGTCACATTTTCTTTGTGTTTTTGTCATTTTTAAGCAGCTTACAGTTTATGCCTCACTTTACTGTTGGCAGGTTTCAGATTAGTCAAAAATAGAGAAAAAAAAGTATAAAACTAGGTCAAATAAATGGTTTTGGTTAAATGTGCTGGGACAGAGGACATAGGGCTCAAAACTGGGACTGTCCCGGGTAAATAGGGACATCTGGTTACCCTGGTTAAGTTAAACCCAGTCCTAGTAAACATTACTCATGAACCACACAGCAGCTTTTCTATATTTTACCTAAACAAATGACAATTTATGCCTCTCTTTACTGTTGGCAGGTTTCAGACTGGTCAAAAACAGGGACACCTGGGACAGTTGTTGTATTAAACTGCGACAAATCACTGGTTTTGGATAAATCTGCTGGGACAGGGGACACGGGGCTCAAAAGTGGGACTGTCCCGGGTAAATGGGGAAGTCTGGTCACCCTGAGCTAAGTTAAACCAAGTCCTAGTAAACGTTACTCATGAACCACTCAGCCCTGTGCTATATGACATTCCATAGGTCATTTCTAACGTGGACATAACCATAAAGTGGGTTATTGTACGTTGGATATGAAGGTTAAATACATAACTTTTTTTTTTAAAGATCTGTGGATACAAACTTCTTCATCAGGACAGTGAAAAAGAGAGCATTAACTGATTAGCTAAATGGAAATGTCAAAGAGCATGGCACAAAAATGCTAAATGATTTAAAGTTAACTAGCCTGACGTTAGCTGCTGTGAAATTGTATGCCTTTTTTTTTTGTTGTTGTTGTTAAAATGCATGAAGTGAACTGACACCTCATGGATCGAGAAGCTTCGCAAAACTGGGCTTAAATTGGGCTGAAACATTTCCCTTTTCTGTGACTGTGTAGGAAACTGACCGCTCTTACAATGGTATTACTCAACTGCATATTCAGGACCGTGAACGCACCACGGCTACACCTGCCGCTTCTGGTTTCGACTGTCGCACCTGACACTTTTCTTTTTCCAGAGATTAACCACAACTGTCACAATGAATTAGGTTAACACTGATGTTTTTATACAGTAACATTTCCAGATAAAGTTTCAGAGCTTGTTTAACTCTGACACCTGTTGTGAGACTGTACTGGCCTTACCTTAATTTGACTGTTGCTCCAAAGAGGTGCGGGAAAAACGTCGCTGTCCTGAGAATCTTGACGTGAATTTAAAGCACAGAGGCTCTAGAAAAATGCAAAAGTCAGCACATGAAACAGGTAAAGTTCGATTAAATTGGTGAATTGAGGACACCAGAGAGCACATCAAGCTAACAGAGGCTTTCTGAGTGGGACCGGGCGGGCAGGGCGGAGGAGGCGGGACCAGAGGCGCTGGGACATGGAAAGTAAAGGGAGTGGCGAGGGCATGAAACCATCCGAGTGGTGGAGCAGGATGGGATGAGGGTGGAGGTTTTACGCACGGACAGGTGGGGAGTCTCAGGCACTTTGGCTCTCAGCTGGTGACTTTGTACTGTTGATAATGTAAGCAGTACGGACATGGGTATAAACCCAACAGAACACAACGTGACTGTGACAGAAACTTACTTGGCATTACATTTGGCAATTAGGAGCAACAATCCCTGCGCCTAGTTTATACATCAGCCTGTAGTCCAGCATTATAATAATTCATGTTTCACCTTAATTTACCCAAAGTGAACAGCTGTTTTCTAGAAACAGATCTTATCTGGAGGAGAACAGTCTGGATAGTGATAATGCTGACTGAGGTGGACCTACTTAACAATCTGGATGTTTACATGGTAAACAGTTAAATGCACACTGGCTCTTGGACTTGAGCATGAAGTCTTCATTGTATGGTAAAGACACACCAGTGGCTGTTTATTTGTGGGCTGCCCTCTTCTCACTGCTCATCCACACTTAATTTTCCTGCATTCCTGTTTCATTCTCAAGTATGCTCTGATTCATCAGTGGATGCAGACATTGGTCCGTTCATCTATCAGTGTCTAAGAGCTGCTCTCTTTCGCTTTGTTCCACTCTCTCTTTTCTACCCCCTCACCCCTTCCTTTCTCCCTCTGCCCCCATATCAGGTGTGTCACCTGAGCTCTGTATCAATTGTTTATCACCCCGGGACACCCAATCTACAGAGCATGACCGAACCCTCCAGCGCGGAGTGAGAAGTGCTATGCTCCTGCTCTGATGTGTTTGTGGGACAAACAAAAAGAAGGGGATGTGTAAAACTCTGTCAGAAAGGACAAACTCGATCTGTTGCGTGAGCGAGTTTTCTAAGACAACAGACCCAGACCGTATCATGGATTTGAATAATCTCTTTACATAGACATTTGAACATTTTAGCCCATTCAAAAGATAGATTTTGATTAGAACTGTTAATTACTACGGTGATCTATAAAATATAAGATTAAATAAAAGAAAATATAAGAATAAATAAATGAAAAAAGAAGGAGCAAGCCTTGTAATGATCAAAAGTGACCACAAGAGGGATACTCACGCCACAACTAATTTATATGGCCTTTGGGTCAGTGAGGGCCGAATACAGCATGCATCAAAATAATTTAGACGATTACGAGTTTTATACTTATTTAGACTATTCATTTAATTTATTTAATTATTATTAGCCTATTTCATACATTTTGTCATCTGTTCTTTTTTATTATTATTAATGCAGCACAACAGCTTGTAGTTTTGTTGTGGTAAAAAAACAAAAACAAAAAAACACGTCTGGTCTGGTTATATCACCAATGCCAGTTAATCAGTTTGGCAAAGATTTATGGTTTATGACTAAACCTTACTCAATTATGTAATGTCCAGATGTGACCACTAGGTGGAGACTACACACTGTACTGAAATGTTAGTTTTGTCCTGTTAAAGCTTCAAATTATAATTAATAGATCAATATCTTTTAGAGTGTGTGTTACTCGGAAATTCTGACATGCTCAGGCGGCATTACATTCCAAAGAATAACATGAGTTTTTTGCCAAATACGTTTTTGGACTGCTGCTATTTTAATGAAGGGCCTGCTTTTCTCTGTTTTTAAACTCTATACATCTTCACCAGAAGCATTTGGATCATTTCAGCCCTGGAAGGTAAAAGGTAGCTGTCAACTTGAAAAAGCCCCATGGCATCATAAGGTGGAAAGGAGCATTTTGAGTTTTGGAGATGAAAACAGACTATTAAGGATGTGTGAATAAAACAAAACACAACTCCAGGTATGTTTTGATGAATTAACAACATTCTAACATGACTAAAAGCTTCTTACAATCTTTTTTTTTTCATATAATATAGGAGCTTTAACATTCCGTGCCTTTCTGACTGGCAGTGCATCAACTGAGTGTGTCCCATGTGACTAACAGTTTGTCCCCAATCAGATAAAAGGGCCCCTTTAGACCTCTACACATAAGACCCTGCACCTATATCATGAGGGAAATGCAATAAGTTAATTGGGATGCCACTGCTGATATTTATAGCCCAGACAACAAAAAGGGCAGTCACGGTGTCTTAATAATACTCGATTTGCCCTTGCATTTTGTATTTGTCATTTTTGCTTATTCATTCTTTGCTTTGTTTTTCAGTGAGGGTTATTTGGTGTTGTTTTTTCTTGTCTTAGCAGTTTCACCCTCTGTTGTTATTCTTTCATAGTGCATGGTCTATTCAGTGGTTTACATGCAGTTCAATTGCTTTCTTTATATGTTTGTTGTCATCTGTCAGCAACCACCAGTATGCAAATAAAAACATCTATGTCAGATTTAGCTACTGATAGCCTGATTTCCTGTCTCTGGGCAGGTGTACACACAATAACGATACACGTTACATGACAAATACATTCAGACAGTAACTCTTTATTAACATAGGCTCAGTAAAATATACAGTCAAATCCTGCCATTTACTTAAAGGCCCTATATTACATGCTCTGGTCTCATCTAAAACAAAACTGGAGTTGTGTTTTGACAAGCATGTTCATTCACATGTTAAACACACAAACCCTGCATATTTAAAATGAGTTCTTCTCTCAAACAGAACCTTGTGAGGTCATGTCATAACACAGGAAGTGCCCCACTGTGTTTTTAAAGTCCATACACCTTCACTTAGCCATGTGAAGAGTGACTAGCCAGTGACTAGGTCATGAATCGGAATACACTAGACGGTTTGCAAGAACCCTGGAAGTTGTAGACTGTGCACCGGCCAATCAGTGAGGAGTTGTGAAGCCATGACTGGGTCCCTTTTTGTGGTACAGCACAACAGGAAACAAAGCGGTCGAGATGGATGGAAACGAATCCAGAAGCCATACATTCAACGATTCTCGAGATCGAGGATTTAAAGCTTGAACAAAGAGAATGTTTGGTGAATTTTATCAAGGGGAAAGACATTATTGCCCTTCTTCCTGTGGGATTTGGGAAAGCCTTAATATACCAGTTAGCCCTGTTAGCGGTGCATTACATACGTCACAACCAAATAGCACCGACCGGTTAAATTAAAAAAGTAACTGCATACCATCGAGCAAACAAATCCTAATGCTGCAAGGTCAGACGGTTTCCACGAAATGAAACAGTCTGATCAGGCCAACCTTCAGTAGGCTCATTTGGATGATTACAGCCCTGGAATTGCCTATTTATTCTGAACTAAAGGTTAACTTAGGCAACTGTTAACTTGAAAAGTTAACTTCTTCATGACATCACAAGGTGGAACAGAGCATTTTGAGCTTTGGAGATAGATAGAATAATAATGCAGTATTACTCAAGCATGTGTGAATAAAACTAAACACAACTCCATGTCTGTTTTTAACAACATTAAAACTACTTAAAGCTCAAAAGAACACATTTTGCATAATATAAGACTTAAACCTAGTATTAATCCTTATTTGTTCTTTTTTATGGCCACTCCCTCTTCAGTCTCCATCTCTGCCTCTCATGTACCTTCAGTTGAGCAGGTGCACAGCGACAAAACCACTGAGCTGTAAAATCTCCACTACTCGAAACAAGCTTCAAGACTGTCCTTCTCTTCACTGTTTTCGTCCCTCTCTTCACATCTTTTTCACATCCTTTCTCAAATCCTTTTATCAGCTGACAGCCCCTGAGTCAACAACACTGTGACTTTACTTAAAAGAGAGACTACAGCTGAGTTTTAATGGGCTCGCTGTCACGTCCTGACTCTTGTGAATCCCGTGTGAGTCTTTGACCACATCTACATCTTTAATGTCCATGTTTGAATAATGCATGGGCTCACTGGCCTAGAACACACGCGTTTATGCATCTATATTTGCGAGGGCAGCTAATGACTTAATGCTCTCCCATGCTGAACCTCATAGCTAAACCTGATTTAAGATTTTAAGTCATGCATGCGTCAAAATATAGGTCATTTCATTGGTATGTCAACTCAGCATGCCACCAGAGCATCAGATTATAATTTACAGATCAGGCAATGTACCGTATATGTAACTGTAAGATTTCATTTTGAGTGGGATTTGGGCAAGTTAAAGTGGATTCTGAATAAATGATTGTCTCTAGGGTTTCAAATTTCAGTTTTGAGTGTCACTATTGCATGTTAAAAGTTCTATATTACACAAAATTGATTCCTCTGAGCTTTAAGACATGTTATGATGTTGTTACCTCTTCAAATCATGCACACAAATCATGTTGTGTTTTGTTTCATTCACTCATGTCTCAGTAATCCTGCATTATCAGTCTGTCTACATCTCCAAATCTCCAAATCTCAAGCCTAAATATGCAGGATTTGTGTGTTCAAACATGTGTGAATGAAACAAACTCCAGGCATGTTTGTGATGAAGAAACAACATTATAACGTTGCTCAGAGAATAGTGCAATATGAGCCTTTTAATGTAGCATCCTATAATGACTTGCAATTTTCCTTATAGTGTCTGGGGTGTTCATTATCCTTTCTAATAAGACCATATTTTTATTTGTATTTGATTTGTACCAGTGTGTAGAGGCTCACTCCTTGTTGATCATTCAAGGAGAGGCGTCTTCAGGAGGACCTCAGGGCTGCAGAGAACATTCATGTTTTTACGAGTAGGTTCAAGACCCACCTTTTCAGATTGAACTTTTATACTTTTACTTGTTTTTATTATACCTATTTTATTCTATTTATTTATTTTGTTTGTAGTGTTTCCTCTGTAGGAGCCCTTTGCATCTGGAGCGGTGGTCGGCTGCGACTACCAGGGTCTGTCCCGTGGGCTCCTGGTGCAAGGTTGGTGCTTGGGCCTCATCTTTCTCCTGAACCCTGTGGTAGTTCCTGGTGGCGGTGGATGGCTCTTTGCTCCTGGTATAGTACTATTAGGTTGAGCTCATGTTCTTTTATCATGTTTTAGGATTGCCAGTGTTTCCTCTGTAGGAGCTCTCTGCACCAGGAACGGTGGTCGGCTTCGGCTGCCAGGGTCTGTCTTGTGAGCTCCTGTTGGAGGGATGGTGCTTGGGCCTCATCTCTCGCCTGAACCCTGTGTCCTGGTGTGGGGGAGGGATGGTGCTTGGGCCTCATCTCTTCCCTGGGCCCTGTGGCGGTTCCTGGTGATGGTAGACGGCTCTCTGCTCCTGGTGAAACAGCTCCTCTGATGGTGCTTTCTGAACTGGTTCACCTTTATGCAACCTCACATTTTAGTAGTGTGTAGTAGTGTACTGTGTGTGTGTGTGTGTGTGTGTGTGTGTGTGTGCGTGTGTGTGTGTGTGTGTGTGTGTGTGTGTGTGTGTGTGTGTGTGCGTGTGTGTGTGTGTGTGTGTGTGTGTTTGTGCGTGTGTGCGTGCGTGTGTGTGTCTGGGTTGTTTGATTGTGTGGGGTCAGGCAGCTGTGGGGGTTGGGTACGTGGGTGGAAGGAAATGTGGGATTGTTGATAACTATATAAAAAAAAATGTATAAAAAATGTATGAAAAGCACTTTATAAATAAAGTTTGATTGATTGATGTATTTGACATTGCTTTAGAGGTCCGTCACCTTTTTGTTTCCATGGATATGTCATTCCTCTGCCTGGAATGTTCCGTAGTATGACATTAAGCAGCTCTACTTTACATTTATTCAGTTACAGGTGTTTTTACAGCTCAAACTTTTGTTATACCTAGAAAAACAGGCATTCTGACTGTCAGCGGAGTTGCCTCTCCACTAGGGATGCAACAATAACCGAAATATCATGATTTCGTATCATCAAACGTCTCACAATATTATCGTGGGCTTTCACAATATATCGAATCACAAGTTCCTTTGCTTAAATACATGGTTTTATAGTAGCAACAACTTACAAACATTGAGAACTACATGTCCCATGATTCATTTAAATGCAGACAACATGAAGAAATATGTTTTTACTTGAATTCTTGGGATTATGATGGAAATAATTCACACCAAAATCTTGTCAAGGTATTTTAAAAGCAAAAATTATATCAGCATCTCCAAAATATCGCAATAAATCGTACCGTGAGATGCATATCGTGGTAATATCATACCAAGAGATTTGGATATTGTTACATCCCCACTCTCCACAGATCTGACTAGTAACTTGACCTAGTTTGGTCTCCATGATGCTAGAAAAGTTTAATGTCATACTGCAAACATTGTATACAAAGCAGCATTTCCTTGGGGCTAAGTATTATGTCTGAAACATTACACAATGCAGCTTTAAGAAAAACATACGCAAACAAACACAAAATGTTGACAGAATTACACTTCTTGCATATTGTAAGACATTTGCACAGACACAAACAAACTCTGTATATAATTTCACAGCTACTCTACCACTCTGGTGTGATAGGACTACAAAGCAATGTTCAAAGAAACCTACCACACCACTTCCATCGACCACAATGCTTTTCTCTGCTGCCACCTTCCTGTTGACTCTCTGCACATTTCCTGTCTCATAGAAAACATTGCATCAAACACCTTTTTGTTACTCTATTGGACCCGGTAGCTGTTGCATCGGACCATTTAAAATCCCGGTCCACCCTCGTATATATCTCTGAAACGCAGGCTGGTCTACTTCATAGTTCTCATTTGACTTTTAAATGCATGTGCCCCTTCTGATCTTCCCACACGCACACACACACATGCACACGCACACACACACACACACACACAAGCCCTCAGTGAAGATGAAGATGTGAAACAGAGGTCAGAGTGGATTTCTGCTATAACTGTGCATAGTGATGACTTGACCGACCTGACGACCGGCCGCTCTCTCTTCCTCTCGCAGATGTTTGGGATGTTATACAATATACGGGCTCGGGTTTCTCCGCCGATTCAAGCGGTTGGCCTTCTTTGCATTTATAGGGATTTATTGGAAAACAAATCAACAAGTGCTCAACAATATTTCAGAAAAAAACACATGTAAATAAGGTGATAACATGAAAAATAACAAATAAAAAACATAACAAACAACAGAGTGACAGTAGCTCAGTTGGTAGAATGTTTGTCCACTGATCTGAAGGTTGGCGGCTCCCATATGAATCCTGTCGTTGTGTCCTTGGGCAAAACAGTTCACCCCTAGTGTCTGTGTACACTGGTGTATGAATGTGTGAGTGGTTCCTTGACGTAAAGCGCTTTGAGTGATTTGAAGGTTGAAAAGCAGTATATAAATATGTACGTAGCCTCATGTATTGTGTGTGTGTGCGCGTGTGTGTGTGTGTGTGTGGGTTGTTTGGTTTTGTGAGTTTGTGCAGTTGTGAAGAGGTGTTTGGGTGGAATGGCATGTGAGATTGTTATTAATGAGCGTATATATTTATTGTATGAAAGAGCTTTTTAAGAGTAAATTAAAGACATATCTGTTCAGGCTTTCCTTTCCATAGATTTTTTAAATTCAACCTTATTTCATGTACTTCTGTATGGTTAATTATCTTGTAGTTTTGTCTTTTGTCTTTTGAGTCTTTGTTGTTGTGAAGGACACTGCGCTATAGTTTCTGTATGATTGTGCTATATGAATACATTTCTTTCTTCTTTGTAAATAAAGTTTGATTGATTTTGCTTTCGTGTCCCAACATTTCACTGGTTACTCTTTTCCATTGTGTTATAGAAGATACATTTCATATAATCTATTAAATTATACACTTAAAGGGACAGTTCAGAATTTTGGACATAGGGCTCAGAGGTGGGACCGAGTCTTTGTTTTGCAAGTCTCAAGTAAGTCTCAAGTCTTTGACCTCAAGTCTGAGTCAAGTCCCAATTTAAATACAGGCAAGTCCCAGTCGAGTCTCAAGTCACTGGCTTATAAGTCCAAGTCAAGTCCAAGTCGTCTGCTTTGAGCTTCAAGTCATTTCAAGTCTTTGAACCAAAAAAGTACAAAATTTAGCTTAAATTTTTTAGCAATTTATATGAGTTTTAAGATAAATTGTACTTTAAAAATCATAGTATATTTATATATAAGTATTTATAGAGTATAGATATGCAATTGATTTAGTTATTTTTTTCTTTTTAAATGTCTTAACAAGATCTTAGTGTGAATCATTATGGTCAGAATAGAAAGAATACAGATTTAAAAGTGCTTCTCAAGTCTTCTCACTCACAGGCCTCAAATCCAAGTCAAGTCCAAAGTCACTGACCTTCAAGTCCAAGTTAAGTCCCAAATCATCCATTTTATCAAGTCAAGTCTCAAGTCCTAAAAATAGTGACTCAAATCTGACTCGAGTCCAGGTCATGACTTGCAAGTCCCCACCTCTAATAGACCTCATTTCCTAGTGAGCCAGAGTGTTGGAGACGTGTGGAGACACTTTTTTAAATATTCCATCCAGTCCTTGTATTTGCAGAGGTCACTGGTGCTAGACTAGTGCATGTCAATGGCCATAGTTATCCTGCCACTAAAAACAGTCTTACCCACTCCACAACACACCCCAAAACAAATCTATTATTACACCAGACTGTCGATGTAAATGTCTGTGTTGATAAAATAATGTTTGAAATAAAACTAAACTTGCATTGCATGAATTGTCGCATATTGAGGGACTATTTTCTCATATATCAGTCCGCCGCTGCTAAGGTTTCTATCAGGAAGTACAACTCGCTGCTGCTGCTCAGACATAAATTCTTCAAATGCAAGGTTGGTTTTACTTCTAAAATTATTCTATCATCACAGACATTCACATCAACAGTCTGGCGTTATAACTGTTTTGCTTTGGGTGTTTTGTGGAGTGGGTAAGTGGGTTTTTAGTGTCAGGATATCTATGGCCATTGACATGCACTAGTCTAGCACCAGCGACCTCTGCAAATACAAGGACTGGATGGAATATTTAAAAAATTGTCTCCACACATCTCCAACACTCTGGCTAACTAGGAAATTAAGTACTATGTCCAAAATTCCAAACTGTCTCTTTAATTTCACTAATAACTTAAATATCTGTGTCTTGTTTATTCTTTGCCTGAAAATAGACCAAATCATATTTTAATATTATATAACATTTTTGCCATGGGTGAGGATAGTTGCTGACATTTACAAGAAATTATAAAAGACTGGTCCTTTTTTGTTTATGTTATGAGACTGTTATGAGTGTGAATGTTATGATTGTTATATGAGGAGATTCTGTTGAGCCACCAAAGCCCACAGTGTACTCCTCTGCACCTTCACAAATCATACAGACCTGTACCTGCTGTCACACTGTCTGTACGCCACGCAGCATGTCATCTGTGGATTTACAGTCCTCACATCACCCCACTGAACGGGGAATGTGAGGAAAAATCCACTTTTTACAGCCCTGGGCAATTATTTGGCTACACCTGACTATAGGTCTGAAATTAGAACATAAAACTCACTGTTCTGTCAGACGTAAATAATATTATGTGACATTTTTTGCTATAACAAAGAAGTGATTTTATGGCTGTAGTTTTTTGCAGTAGAGTAGACTTTTCCTGAGATTCAATGGACCAGAGGTAGGGAACGCGCACAGTGGGACGCGCGTTCACGTCGTGCGGAAAGAGAGAGAGGAGGGAGAGAGAGGAGAGAGAGAGAGAGGAGAGAGAAGAGAGAGGAGAGCGCGCTGCTAATACTAGATACAGAAAACAGCAGCGAGCATCGAGTCTGGAGAGCAACTGATGCGACAAGGTAGGAAAAGATGCTATTTCTTTTCTTGTTTGGGGTCTGTGTTGTGTATAGGCGGTGTTTCTGCTGGAATACCCCCATCACTGAGCTGTTTTCCCCGGAATAGTCGTGTCCTCCAGCCTGATCCCGTGTCCGATCACCGCTCTGTTGTTGTGTCCGCAGATGCTGAGCGTCGCCTTGCTGTGCTTGTGCGCCGTCGCCTTTGGACACGTCTCGGCTCGTTCAGACAACGGCAATTTTTTGGATGATAAATGGCTGACGGAGAGATGGGACAAATTCAGAGACGTGAGTAGCCCACGCTGGTGTTGTGAGCTTTTGTTATGGCAGCATGTTGTGTTGTCTCAGTCGGGGCTCGCTGTGTCCACACCGCGCTGTGATCATGCGCCGCTCGTTTTCTCCTTGTGTCAAGCGACGCGTCACGGAGCCCGTCGCTTGTGCTGTTTGTCACACGTTCATCACCCGCTCCAGTGATACAGTAAATACACCGCCATCATGTCTGCCAGTGTGTTTCATAAATCAGAGCACGGGCTACGAAAAGAGCATCGTGTGGCGGTGGAGGGAGCGAATGGGGCCTAATTACAGGCAGGTAGACCGAAGCGAGTCCGCAGCACTAGGCCTGCACTTTGAACAGAAAGCACCTGCCATCTGCACTGTCATTTCAGCTTTTAGTCAAACGTAAACGCTGCTCACATAACATCTGAACCTAGTGGGTTTAAACGCAGGATTTAGGCTCCCAGACAGCATCGTTTGGAGGGTGAACATTCTCTTTTTGGGTCTGTATTTTCTAGTCTATGGTAAACCCTGGTTGCCCTGCTCTTTGTCATTGTTTATGTTGGAGATTGCTTTATGTTTGCTGACAAAACCCCAACATAATCTTACGTATTGACCCACACAAACGTTGCTATTCAATAGGTCTTTATTGAGGTAGTCTTTGGTTTGGTCCTGTTATAATCCTGGTTTAATCCTGGTCCAGTCCGGGTTTATTTTCAGTTTTAGCCCCAGTTTATTCCTAATTCTGTGTTGATATATGCATGTATCAACGCACCCTAAATTAAGCCTATTCACTATCAGCTATAGATGAAAAGCCAATGATAACATGCACACATTCTTATTAAAACAGGTTTTCTAGAGCTCCCCAAAGCTCCCCCTGTCAATGTAACACTCCTCTATATTTAAACAGTCTGATTTATGATTGAGAGAAACCCCCTTTTGGTGCTTTCATGTTTTTTACTTCAGGTACCTCCCCCGTGACTGATGTTTTTTTATATAACTTTCCCAGCCGCGTAGAGAGACACACGAGAGCCAATCTGTGCCCCGGACCCATGTGATACACCTTTGGTCTAACGCCTGTCCTGAGAAGGATTTGGATTATGCAAATGAAGTGTCAGCGTGAACGCCTCTGATTGGCCGTGGGCTGGGTTACTTAAGATACTTTGACTTATATCGCCTACAGTTAAAAGATAAGAAAGAGAGTGAGAGAGGGAGAGAGAGGGGAGATAGTAGGAAGAAGGAAATGATTGAAGTCGTTTCTTGTGTTTAATCTGACGCTCAATATATATTTCATTTTGTGCATAGGCTCATGTAATATCTGCTGTATTAAACATTTATAATTTAACTTGACTAATGGTATCATGAGACTGAAATGTGACTGAAATGAGAGTTGATTTTGATCAGGAATATGCTTGCACAATACCATTTGTCACACCCCTTTATGGACAATGTCATTTTCAACATAAAGTATGGCTAGTATCTTAAAAGAGGGGTATTATGCAAAAATTCTACCATGTTATAATATTGTTCACTCATCAAACACATGCCTGAAGAGGTTTTAGATGTCATCCATGCATGTTTGACTATTTTAGCCTTGCGGGCTCTATTTGAACTCTCCTTATGTTTAGCTCTAAGATTCTGTGCAATGCTCCACTCGCAAACCTACGTCATCCGTCTGATTGGGATTTTGGCTCAGAATGACTCAGAGCTTCAAAAACTAAAGTGAAACCTATAACATGTGATAATACATTGTTTTTCTGCTAAAATAGTATTTTCAAAACAATTAAAGGTAACATGGTGATCTAAATATGTTATGTATTAGCGATGAACAGAGGTGGGGACTTGCAAGTTGTGACATGGACTCGAGTCAGATTTGAGTCACTATTTTTAGGACTTGAGACTTGATAAAATTGATTAAGACTTGGGACTCGACTTGGCCTTGAAGGTCAATGACTTGGAACTTGACTCGGTTTTGAGGCAAGTGACAGCACATTTCTTTCTGTTCTGTCTGTAATGATTCACTCCAAGATCTTGTCAAGACATTTAAAAAGGAAAAAATAGCATTTCTACAACTCTTATATGCTCTATAAATACTCATATATAAATATACTATGACTAGTACAAGTACAGTTTATCTTAAAATCCATGTAAACTGCAAAACCCAAGGCTATATTTGGTACTTTGGTTTAAAGACTTGAAATGACTTGAAGCTCGACTCGGACTTGCCTGTATTTGACTTGGGACTTGACTCGGACTTGAGGTCAAAGACTTGAGGCTTACTTGAGACTTGCAAACCGACGACTTGGGTCCACCTCTGGCGATTAATACCCCACAGATGTGAAATCCCTCCTCTTTAATATCACCCTGTGGACTCATAGATCTTTTAAAAACTATTCTGAAAAAAGGTTTAATAAAAAATGTTTTGACCCTGACATTACAAGATTTGATTACAAGTTAAGTTTGTTTCGATGTTGCTTCTGCCAAAAATACTGTGTTATTTAGTTCACATTAGTTGTGCTCAATCCAAATTGTATAGATTGGCATCCATTAGTATGTCAAAGTATAATAAAGATTGGTAGTCATGAAAAAAAGGTTTTAGCTCTTTGGCCCATTATCAAACAGTTATTTCCTTAAAAACAACATGATCTCATTGCTGCGATGGCTTGCTTTTAGGTAAATTCTCCATTTCGCGTTTCAACTCTTGAATGCAGCTGTATCCTCAAATAACACCTTCTATTGTTAGTGGCAGGTGGATTTCACAAACTGCAATGAACTTTCAGACGCCGAAGACTTAAGTAACCACTTCAAGGCAACTGATACTTTGCAGACACATCACGCTGGGGGTGTTCCACATGTGTCTCTATTTGTGGAAGGTTCAGTAGTTGCCATGGTGACACAATTCACACATTCGAAAATGCAGACAAAAATGAAAACATCAAGTCTCGCTAAAAACAAAATGGATTTAAACAACACATCTTCAGGAGCCTGTGATCAATATGAGCATCCAGGGCTTTATTTAGGCCAGACCTGGGTATTGTGCAGCTCCTGGGCCACTTACTGCCCTTTGGTTGACTCTGACTGGCCTGTTTAAGCTCATTTGGAATCACAAAATAAACGTGTTTTATCATTTTACCTCATGCATGGATTAAAGCTGCATTGCTTTAATTTTAGAGGTGTTTATTTAATGACATTTTTTTGTAAGGCAACGTCACTCTTTCATTGCTTAGTCATAACATAAACTCTTACCAGCTTGTCAAAACAGTGCTATTTTCTGCTTTTTATAAAGAAATACAATTAATATTATGCAGAATTTAGTTGCACATTTTTATTCGTCCCTCCACAATATTTTCTCATGTGGCCCCATGGAAAAAAGAATTGCCCACCCCTGGTTTAGATGGAAAAAGTGAGACTCTTGGTTGTTTATTTATTTATTTTTATTTTATTTTCTGGCATTTCGCCCACTTTTACTCTAAACCTTTCGTGTGGCGGTGCAAGGCGTGCTAACTTTCTTCTTCATAAACTCCATTACTTGCGGAGGGCGTTCGAGACATGTACGCAGGCTCTCATCTTGAGGCATGAAAGCAGTAAGTGGGTCCAGCTAAGTGCACTAGATACAGCCCTGGCTTCTCATTTACTGTAGGTCCCACTTAAAATGGTCACTCACAACAGCCCCGGGCCCTGCATATCCTGGACTCCCACCCGACCAAACCAACCAACTAACTCCAATACGCTACTGTAAGCTGATGTCATGACAGCAAATACAATGTGTTACATTGAAAACATGGGAATTAAAGCTTGTTTTGACTAGCCTCATTATAAAAGATTAGCATGCTCCACTCCTCTGCTTTTGTGCGTTCTGATTGGCTGCGTTTGCTCCATACTGTTTGTGTTGTGGAGGGTGAAAGATGTAGAGAAGGTACAAAGCTCCAGGCCTTTTCCACTTCAAAGCACCTCAAGTGTGTACATGTGTGTGTGCGTGTGTGTGTGTGTATGTGTGACAAGCTTGAGCAAGACATAGCCAGCACTACGACTGAAGCATGTATAGAGAAAAGAAGGAGCAAGGTCCTAAAGGAAGGAAGGAAGGAAGGAACAAAGTGAAGAAACAAGGTGTAAGTGAGAGAGTGAGAAAGTGAGAAAGTGAGAGAGAGAGAGAAGTTGGCAGGGCGGCTCGTGGTTGAAGGGCAAATCCTGATTATAATTAGATTTGAAAATATTTGAAAATTAATGTTCAGATGTAGCCTACAACAGTGAAAGAAGTCAATTTTCTGAAAAGGAATGTGTTAAAAATGGACGCTAAAGTACCTGGATTGTTAATAAAGTTTGGACACACTTTCCCATTTATTTTTCTGCTTTATTTACATGATTATTTGCATTGCAGATTCTCACTCAAGGCATCAAAACTAGGAATGGACACACAGAATGTAGCAAACAGAACAAAGCTAGAAAAACCTAAACTTGCCTTGAACCCTAGATTGCACATTTGGCATTTCAAAACCATTTCAGGAGACTTCATTAGGAAGCTCATGAGAGAGAAGAGCGAAGGTTTGCAGCACTGTCAGCAAAGCAAAGAGTGTTGGAAAAAAAAGCTGTCTTTAACTGTCTTAGAATGTTGTTACCCAGAGTGGTGTTTTTGTTTTATCCACACATGTTTGAGTAATCCTGCATTATCAATTATTAGCCCAGTAGATTCTAAATGAACTGCAACTTTTTAACCTTTTGTTCAGAAGAGATTGGCAATTCCAGGTCTGAAATCATCCAGCTGGTTCTGGAGAAAATGTATGGAGTTTAAAAACACAGTAGAGCACTTTCTGTACTAGGCTACCACGTGGCATCACAAGGTAGCCAGGCTGGCACCGCCTACTGTCTCCGCTCAATTTCATTTCTCTCCAGTGACTAGATCAGGAATCGAAATACACTACACGGTTTGCAAGAACCCCAAAAACTGTAGACTGCACACCGGCCAATCAGCGAAGAGCTGTGAAGCAATGACGTCAAACTCAAGCGCCTGTCTGGGTCCATTTTGTGGTACAGCACAACAGTAAACAAAGCAGTCGAGATGAATGTAGACGAAGCCATACATTCTGTGTTGGCAACGATTCCTAAAATCAAGGATTTAAAGCCGGAACAAAGAGAATGTTTGGTGAATTTTATCAAGGGGAAAGACGTTATTGCCCTTCTTCCTACAGGATTTGGCGCATTACATATGTCACGACCAAATAGTAGTGATTGGTTAAATAAAAAAAGCACCCGCCTACCGTCGAGCGAACGAATCCTAATGCTGCGAGATCAGACAGTTTCCACAAAGTGAAACCAGCTGAAGAATCAGACTAATTACAAGGTGGAACAGAGTGTTTTCTGTTTGAGAGGAGAACTCTATTTGTGTGTTAAACGTGTGAATGAAACAAAACACAACTCCAGGTATGTTTGCGATGAGGAAATGACTTTATAACCCAGATCGGAAGCTATTATTACGGTATTGAAATCAGCATTGAGCTTTCCTCTTAGTAGTATTAACAGATCTACCATAAATTGTGCTGGAACTAAAGCCTATATTGAGATGATTGTGAGGTTGTTTGTGTTAGCAGCAAGTTTCGTGAGTAGCGTAGCTCATTCACTTCTTTGATGTTGTGAGTTGATGACAGATTCCCGTGCCACACTTTCTATGGCGCTCAGGTTTTGTTTGTTTACACTGCTATTGTGTGTGTGCGTGTATGTTTGTGCGTGTGTGTGTGTGTGTTTGCACATGCGATGCCATTAAGGAATCAGACCTCAAGGACTTTTGCCGTCTTAACTTGTCCAAAGCACGGCCCTGGCCCCTATAATGAAATGTTCTCATTACTGGGTGTGCTATGTGCTTGGCATAGGAAAGAATTGCACTTCCTCAGGTTCCTGTCTCTATCAGATCTAGACCTGAGTGTTTTTAATCTGGTCACAAATGAGAAAGGAGGCTGAGTTTAATCTTTATAGAGGGGGTATTTCACTTCTATGGGGTATTAGCTGCTATCACATATACTTAGATCACCACGTTACCTTTCATTGTTTTGAAAATGATGTATTTGCAGATAACGACATATTCATATTTTTTATAAGTTTGATTTCAGTTTTTGATCCTCTGAGTCTTCCCTCTCTTTGCATCCCGTGTTAAGTCACTCTCCCTTCAGAGCACTATGACAACACAATCAGCGTGCACCCTGCTAATGAGACTACTGCACATCGCATCAGTGACGATGTAGTGTATTGTTTTGTCTCATGCTTTTGTGTATTTATGGAGAATGGTCGTGTGGGAGCATGGGCGATGTAGACATGTGAGCTGACCATTGCACAGAATCTTACAGCGAACCGTGAGAAAGGTTTGAATAGGGCCCGGGAGAGATCACTAAAAGACTCAAACATGCATGGCTGACATCTAAAAACCTCTTTAGGCATGTTTTTGGGAGCGTTATAACATGGTAGGAAGCTAAAAAAAACTTTAATGTGGAGGAATAAACACAACAAATAATATTAGAGTGGGTTTGTTGTGGAGGCACGCTGCGTCCAATACAGACACATAAAGAGCAAACAAATTACGTACACAGGCTGAAACCTAATGACTTTTTAAAATGATGATCTTAAATTGAAATAATTTGTAAAATAACTGCACTGTACATAGATCAGCTCACTGACTTCAATCAGACAGCAAGACCCTTAAGTATTAGCAAATCACAGAATCTGAGTAACTTACATTGGTAACACTGACTACCCTTAGTAATATATTATAAATACTACAGCTATATACAGTAATAATAACTCTGTATAATTCAATTTATCAGATTTTTTTTCATTGGGACAGACAGCTATGGAGCATGTGCACATTTTATAAACATGTATACTTACATATTACATACATACTGCATTATTTTACATTATAATTAGAGCTGGTTACTGAAACTCCATTCCAAGTAGGAACTGACCAAAAAGGTCCAGTCAATACTGGTATCGAAAAAACAAATTATTATAGATTATATGAACCAAACTCCAAAATCTCCTCCTCGTCAGTCCTGGTAAAAGCACGATTCTCAAATAAATGTGGGGTATACCCTCCTCTTTTGTCCAGGTATCCACGCAATAAAAGAATAAAGTTATTTATCAAAACAAAAAGCACATGCTCCGAGCGCTGCCTTTAATATAAAGTGCCGTGTGCAGCGAAAACAAAAGTGAAACCCAAAGTCAGTCGAAGTGGGGATCAGCTGTGCTCTGGTTCATTTGCATGCACATTTATTTTGAGTTATAACTGAGTATCATATAGTCTATGTTTTAAAATATCAATGAACATAGTTATAATGTAATTTTCTTAATAATATTGGCCATTAATTTACATAAAAAACAGGCACCAAAAATAATAACTGTTCAGGAACTGTGATCGAATAGCAGATATTGTTAAAGTAATGGCACTGAAAAAAAACAAACAGTACCCAGCCCATATTATAACTAAATTTGTCTGGTTTGTGCGTTGCCGTGTTTGGCTTTGGTACACTTACATCCTGTTCCCTCCCTTTTAACAATGGTCCTTTATATCTCAGTGAAAGCCACATACGAATGAATCTTTCATTATCAAGCAGACGTGAGAATGAAGAGTGTTATGTGGATTTACTTCAGACAGTGAGATCAGAGTCTGTTTAAAGGACCCTCTCAGAGCTTCACTGTTTTAAACGGCTTTTATTTGCATCAGAGGCTAGCACCCATGGGTGTGTCAGCTCATTTGGTGTCTAAAAGCAGAAGCATTCACCTCAGTGTACCTGTTTCAAGTACAAACAGTGCAGACTCAAGCAGAGACGAAAGCTTAATGGATGCAAATGAGTCACATTTTACAGTCAAGACGAGATTCAAGTATCACTCTGTAGCCTCAAAGAAATGAGAAGTCCCAAACAATACAGACTGAACTTTTGTTGAGTGTGGAGAATGTCACATGTCTCTGGTGTTGTGATGCAAACTGGAGGCACTGTTCTGTCAGAAAAGATATATTTTGACTTTAGTCTGAGCTTTATTTTAACACAGTCTGATCAGAAAGAGCTGATTTAACTGGAACTACAACAGATGAGCTGATTAGTGCTCTTAAACAAGTCTGTCACAAGCTAGATGGATTTGTCAGCCGTTTTTCAGTTAATCACCTCACATTTTTGTTGAGCATCAAGCACACATTGATCGCAGGCACCTGAAAAATTGCCTCGTTTAAATCCATTTTGCATTTTTACTTGAGTTTTCAGACGATCTTAAAACTTTTTATGGCAGTGTTTGCTCATCTGTACATTGTGTCACTGCGGTAACTGCTGAACATTCCATCATAAAGATACATGTGGAACACCCCCTGCTTGATGTCGCTGCAAAATATAAATAGTCCGTCATGTTTAAAGTGAATACAACAGGTTTAATTAAGTGGAAGCTGTAGAAGTTGAGAAGAAAAGTACAAAAATCAACATAGAAAATTCCAAAATACAGGGACAATTGACGTGCAAGGAAGGTGTTTTTCTGACAGAGAAAAACTTTATTTAACTAAAAAAAAGTTGTTATTTTTTATTTTCATTAGTCTAATCATTACTATTGCATAATTTAGACAAGCTTTGGTCCTTGTTAACATTACGGTTGCTAGGTAAATTTAAAAAAGGTTTTGTTATGGTTTATTAAACACCTTTTTGTAATGATTGTGTGTATGTGTTCTGCCATGAGAAAAACTAAAGAGGATTTTTCTCTTGTTTTTTTTGTTTTCATAATGCTTTCTGCTAAAGGAAGTGGAGGTTTGTATAACACATGTTATAAATTTGCATCAACCCCAACATTTAACTGATAAATTATGTTAAAATGTGTCTCTTTTAGGAGCCAAGAGCATGGAATCCTCCAAAACCATTTGACCAAGGTGAGCATAAGAAACCTTTTTATGTGCTAGACCTGTCACGATAATTACTATATCAACTTGTTGCTCGATATTTGAAAGATAGAACAGTTATTTTTGGGGTCAATATTTATCGTGGGTACTTTTCTTTGTACTAGTGGGGGAGTTTTTGTGTTTTTTTTCTGTACTACCTTTAGCTGAATAGGGTTGATTAAATAACTTATGTGACTTATTTGAAATGTATCCTTACTACTGAAGTATTTCCTTCTGCTATTGATATTTTGGAGCTAATATTATTGTAATTTTATTGTACATTTAGAATCGTTTTGGGGAGATAATCCTGGTTTTTGGTTGTATCAGTGGGTTAAATTTGTTTAAATATTACCGTTTATCGTCTATATTTTCCTTAGCAGTATATCGTAATTCAAAATGTGTTGTCATGACAGGCCTATGTGCCCATGGACTTTTTGAAAACACAGTCGGTTTAAAGGGACAGTCTGGACATAGGGCTTCATTTCCAAGTTAGCCAGAGTGTCGGAGATGTGTGGAGACACTTTTTAAAATATTTCATCCAGTCCTTGTATTTGCAGAGGTCGCTGGTGCTAGGCTAGCACATGTCAATGGCCATAGTTATCCTGCCACTAAAAACAGTCTTACCCACTCCACAAAACACCCGAAACAAAACTATTATTACATCAGACTGTCGATGTAAATGTCTGTGTTGATAGAATCATGTTTGGAATAAAATTAACCTTGCATCGCATGAATTGACGCATGTTGAGGGACTATTTTCTCACATATCAGTCCGCCGCTGCCAAGCTTTCTATCAGGAAGTACAACTCGCTGCTGCTGCTCAGACATAAATCCTTTAAATCCAAGGTTGGTTTTACTTTTAAAATTATTCTATCAACACAGACATTTACATCGATAGTCTGGCATAATAAATGTTTTGCTTCAGGTGTTTTGTGGAGTGGGTAAAACAGTTTTTAGTGTCAGACTAACTATGGTCATTGACATTGCGCTACCCAAGCACTAGCGACCTCTGCAAATAAAAGGACTGGATGGAATATTTTAAAAAGTGTTTCCACACGTCTCCAACACTCACTCAGCTCACTAGGAAATGAGGTCCTATGTCCAAAATTCTGAACTGTCCCTTTAAGCCCAAAAAGCATATTTAAAGATCTGGCAAAAATGCTTTAATAACTTGGCGGTTTATAGTTTCAGAAAAAAAAGTTAATAAATGATTGGTCTTGTACTCATTAGTTACCTGATTAGCCTTGAGCAACCTTGCAAACTTTAATTTTTTTTTTTTATTTCAGAACATGACTGGGAAAAATAAATGACAAATTTAGTGGGCGGACACTTTTGAGCTCCATTTTATTTTCTTTTGTAGAAAACATTCTCACACATACCTACATTTTTTTTCTTTGTTGAAAATAGAGAGGGAAAATTGAGAACAGTTGTGTCTTAATGGATTAGCCGTAGCCTCACTTGTTATTAACTAGTGGATAACTGACAGCACCTGGAGGATTAACAATGAAAATTATGTTTTTGTAAGAGCGCTACACAGCCCGAGCTACTGGGAAAAAATGGTCCGTTTTTCTCTAGCTAGAATATGGTTATAATAGAAAAGCCTGTCTCACGAAAATTGCAGTTTAACATGATTTGTTCTGTTTTAATGCATTAGCAGTAGCCGTGTTAATAGGAGTAATTGTCACCACCTGGAGCACGAACAGTAAAAATCATGTTTTGTAAAGACGTTCGATCCAAAACCAAAAAAAAAAAAATCACTTCTCTTATCCAGCCCGAGCAGCTGCAGCAGTTTCTCTTTCTTTGTTAATTCGTAGCAAGTGATAATCTCCTAAAACATAGAGGCAAACCAGGACAGCAGCACCTTCACTCTTTGACTCATCACCACCAGATCCTCCACCGCATCACTGCAAGTCCACACACACGCCCATATCATGAAACAATAGGTTTAGCCACGTGGGATCAAATGGAGATTATCTGACAAAGCTGCTCAGGGATTACTGTAAGGTTCTTTGGAGGCAGAGGTCACTGGCTAGTCGCTACAGTTCCGAGATCTGTACTGGTCCAAGCATGTCGTGCACAGGAAATACACAGAATACAGACCCAGGATCAGATTTTGGACATACGCGGAGGAGGAGGAGAGCTAGACAGTCAGACCTTAGATCAGCAATCTCTGTACGCTGTCGGATCTGATACCAGATCAGTTTGAAAGGCGCTTCAGGATAGATTCAATTAAGCTTCATGAGGATGTCACACCAGAAGAAGCCGTGCTAACTATGTCCATCTGTTTTTAGATCTGTGGATGCTTGTGTGTTAACCTTGTGTTCATTAGAAGCAGGCTATACCAAAGAACCACTGCGAAGATTTAAAACATGCGCGCTGAATTGAGAGATTAGACCCTTGTAATGTCCAAAGATTATGTTAGACTTTGTAAACAATATGGGTACCACTGCCAGCACACAGACTCCTTTAAAAGAAAAAAAGATAAGGTTTTACAGTTTGCAAATCAATAACCAATATGCATAAAGACTTAAAGATAAGACTCATATACCTGTATAGTTATCTTTCACTTCTGTAACTAACTACATGACTACATAGATCAGGACAGCGGCGTGTCTAGACTTTTTTTTTTACTTAATGAGTGGCCCAATGTTGGCACCAGGTCTGGCCCAAGTCTTTAAGGCAATAATTTTAAAAAATTATGCTTACATTTTAGATTTTTAGTGAGTAAATCATTTCAATCTGTAAAAATTGACGTCTATTTTGTGTTTTAGTTATAAATTTGTGTAATAATATGAGTATTATTAAACAATAATGGTAATTTTAGACCTGTGAGTGAGAAGGCACCTGGTTCGGTCAATCAGAAATACCATAGAAATGTTCTTTACCTGGACATTATTAATTTAAAGCAAATTAATTGACATAACATTAACTAAAATATTGCTTATTACCTCCGCCAAGGAGGTTATGTTTTTGCCGGCGTTTGTCTGTTTTTGTTTGTTTGTTTGTTTGTTTGTTTGTCTGTTAGCAACATAACTCAAAAAGTTATGGACCGATTTTGATTAAATATTCAGGATTTGTTGGAAATGTGAAAAGGAAGAAGTGATTTCATTTTGGGGGTGATCCGGAAGAAATCTTGGATTCTGGATCACTTTGAAATTTTAATTAACATTGTGGTAAATGGGGTCAAAAATTTTGTTTCTCAATATCTCGTTAATTATTGACCAAACCCCATGAAATTTGACTCAGGGATGGACAATGGGATCCTCTTTCATATTCCAAAGGCTGATCCGGATCTGATCCAGAAGACTGATTTTATCGCAATTTATATAAAAAATGGGGGTAGTCCTTGGCGGAGGTCTGCGCTCTCTGAGTGCTTTTCTAGTTTTGAATGTAGTCATGTATGTGTATGTATAAATGTACGTATACAGTACATACAGAGATAGAAATGCCCACACTGGATTCATTTGGTTGTTGTTTTGTTTTATGTTTCCAGCTCTTGATCCAGCCAAAGATCCCTGTCTGAAGATCAAGTGCAGTCGCCACAAAGTGTGTGTGGCTGAGGATTACAAAACGGCCACTTGTGTGAGCCAGAGGAGAATTAGGTAAGAGCAGTTTACATGGGCTCACATGCTCAGAGTGTAACATACAAACAGGGCCAGCTCCAGCTTAAGATGAGACTTAAAAACAGGGAAACAGGACCTTCTCTAAACTCTGGAACTCTCTGCCCCCCCACGTCCAAACAGCCTCACAGTGGAGCTTTATGTCTCATCTCAAGGCCTTCTTTTATTTTCTGGCTTTTCACTAGAATCATTTGGATAATTTCAGCTCTGGAATTGCCAGTCTCTACTAAACTAAAGGTAAAAGGAGCTGTTAAAGCTGTCAAAACTACTGCTTCATGACATCACAAGGTGGAACAGAGCATTTCGAGATTTGGAGATGTAGCCGGACTAATAATAAAGGATTACTCAAACATACTGTATGTTAATAAAATAAAACACAACTCCGGGTATGTTTTTGATGAAGTAACAATATTATAACATTTCTTAAAGCTCAAAAGAGAAAGTTTAAGTCTGTCCTTATTTTCAGTTCTCAGTATTTAACTTAACCAGAAATGAAACGCACACGGCAGCAGATTATGTGGAAATCAGATAGAGTTTTACTTCTTTCTTTTTCTTGTCTCACTTCTTAATTTTGGTATCTGACCATCTGATCTGACCATATCTATCTGTATGTGTCACATGAGCTGCTCTTTGTTAGCTGTGAAGAGCGGAAAGTACCAAAGGTCCATCATTCTTCACTTCTCTCCGTCTAATATACTACACAAATGTTTTGAAGATCACATTACTGCTACTGTGACTTTGACAATGAAATGGACTTCATGAGAGGCTGAGATCCTTTATTGTAAGACCCAATGACCAAGCAGAAAATATTATGTTTTTATTACACTGTTTTGGAGAAAAACATTTAAACTGAATGTAACTTTTCGAGTAGAGGGTCTGCCACCTGCTTGTCTTCATGGAGATGCTTTTACTTTGCGACACCCTCGCTTCTCCACAGATTTGACCTGTAACTTGGCCTGGTAGCAAGTTACATGTCATTCTCTCTTTTCCTATTAATTACATTTCACTTTGCCATGAAATATTCAAAAGGTAACTTCACAAATGATGAACCTGATCAGTTATATCAGTGACTAGACACGAGAATCACCAACTGTCCAAAATGATCAGCTTTTCCGACCAATGCATTGCTTTCCTGTGACATGAACGTTCAATCCAATTAACTCCCAACTCTGGCAATGCAGTTTAACGAACAACGAGTCCTGCCAAGTCATATGAATGGGCTTTCTATGTCTGTGCGTATTTCAGTCTCAAACACCATCAACTGGACCAGAACAGTAACACCACAATGACCTCATTCCCATTCTTAGCAACAGGACAATTACTAATGCACAGGCAGGCGAGCAAATCATCAAATAATCACACTGAAATCCTACAATCCTTCATTTTTGAAATTGCAGTAGGAATAAGATGACGTTGTTCTGACATAAAGCATTTGGCCAATGCTAGACTCGAGCGTAGCCGGCTTAATGGATGGAGGTTGCGATTAATGTCAAATGAATCATAACTTCTTCAGTTTTTTTGGAGGTGGAAAAGAAGAAGAGCTGGTATGAGAAAGTATTTACCAAGTGGAAGTGGAAGTTGCTAAAAGTTATTATTAAAATGGAGGTTTCAAGAGTTCCATTTAAATGTCATGGGCCACAGAACTGAAAGTGTGAGAAAGAACTAGACAAAAGAGTGAATTTTCTAGAAATGCAGTAAAACAAGTGCAGGTTGTGCAATAGTTTAACACTATTAAAAGGTATTTTCGATCTCAAATTTTAAAGGTGTACTATGTAACCTCTCTGCTTTTGGGTTCACCATCTGCTGGTCATCATGGAGATGTTATTGATTTCCACTTTCCAATCCAATCCACTTTATTTATATAGCACATTTCACAAACAAACTGTTTCCAAAGTGCTGCACAAATACATAATAAAAACAACAATAATAAAATGACGAAATAAACACTCAATTTAATCATACTAGTCTTAAAATAATAAAACCTGTAAAATTAAATAAGAACAAAATCATAGAATACCAATACATATATAAAGCCAATAAAATACATTAAAAATAAATAAAATAAATGCCTAAGTCTAGTCTTAGGCACCATGGGCTGAAACTGGCTCTCGGACCTCAGGGTGTAAATTTGGATGTCCATTCAAAGCTTTAAACAAACAATAAAATTTTAAAATCAATTCTAAAATGAACAGGAAGCCAGTGCAAAGACGCAAGGACTGATTTGCATGGAATGTTCCACAGTTTGGTATTAAACATCCTATATTCAGCCATGTAGTGGTAGTTTTCAAGTTAAAAGATACCTTTTACCTTTTCAGTGGAAATAGGCAATTCCAATTACACAGTGGAGCACTTCCTGTGTTTTCTGTTTGAGAAGAATTCAAATAGAAAATATGTAAGGTTTGTGTGTTAAACAGCTTTACAACATAAATCAAAAAATAGTATAATATGGGTCCTTAATACCATACTATGGAATATTTGCTCCTCACCTTCCACGGTGGTAGGTCTCTCTCTCTCATCCAGCTCAGGTCCTCTACCAGAGGCCTGGGACCTTGAGAGTTCTGTGCAGTATCTTTGCTGTTCCCAGTACTGCACTTTTCTGGACTTAGATGTTTGTGGTTTTTCCTGGTATCTGGAGTGCTCCAGTCACCACGGGCACCACTGATGCCTTCACCTTCCAGGCTTTCCCCTGCTCCTCCTACCAGGGGCTCAAGGAGGAGCCGGGCCCAACTGAAGTAACTTAAATCAAACTAAAGTAACCCAACCAGACAAAGAACAGGAGTGTTTAAATACATGAGGACCAACTAAAACTGAACACAAGGCGAGAATTACAATATAATACAGAAAATAATAGGTGATAATAAAGTGACCTTAAACAAACTAGACAAACGAACTTAGTAATGAACGAAGTAAAAAAAAAAAAAGAAAAGAACAAGTGTAAGTAAATGATTCAGACTTTCAATAACTAAAGAGTGTGCACACAAATTAAAATATAAGTCTAAATAAAGGACTTAAATTCAATCATGTGTGCTGTAATTAACTTAAATAAACTTGCAAATGAATTGAAATAAGACTAACACTGTGGAGTGGTGGCAGAGGTTTCCACCACATCCAAGGAGATGGGCAGGTGGCCTCCAAAAGAAGTTACATAGTGCACCTTTAACTTTCTTCTATTGCTTCTCAAAGACTAAGCTAAAAATGTGTTTCACTTCTGCTTTGTAGTTTCAAGGATCCCAGCTTGTACCAGAGCCCAGGGTCAAAGTGCACGCCCTGTCCAGTGGTGCACCCCTCTCCCGTCTGTGGAACCGACGGACACACATACTCCACCAAGGTACGTACCAAGCAAAGACTGTGTTCTAAATAGGAAGTGAGCATGGGTGTGTGTCTGGGTGCGTCAACTCTGGCTTTTTCACTTCACTTTGTCTGTGTCATCATTTTGGTCTTAAAACGTTTGTTGTAACCCACTCTACATGATCCTGGGGTTTTATTTCTGCTATTTGGTCCAGACATTAACAACAGACCAATGAGCAAAGAGGGCAGCTTTCTTCACTAATGTTTGACTCACAGCGTTTCTAAGACTCCGCCTCATGCTAAATCAGTCGTGAGTCTACGGTGGAAACATGCAATTCAGCAAAACCATGACCTTACTGTTACAAAAACATATATGACATACTTTCATTTCCTCTATAAGGGTCTTTCACATCCTAACTTCAGTTCCTCTATGTGTAATCTTTGGTTTCATTGCCGTGTATTGCTTAGTGTAAACTGGAGTACCAAGCCTGCATCACAGGAAAGAAGATTGCCGTCAAGTGTCCTGGCATGTGCCCCTGCCCATCTCAGCCCAAACCAACGCCAACAGAGAAAAGAGGTATCCAGTACAAAATGCAACACTACTTTTTGGAACTAAAGGACTGAAGGATATAAATATAGTTTGGGTTTATATGACAATTGCCCAAGTCATATTTTTCAGATTGCAGATGTTTTGTTTGATCTGGCTCATGGTAACAGCAAATATAAGTAACATTTTTACCTCATTAAACAACTTTGTAAGTCATGTAATGGCTAAATATGTATTTTTATGGAGTTTGAAGCATGTCTCCGCTGTCTCTGGGCGGAAAACTAACCTTGCGAGATGGCTGACATGACTCGAAGAGAGTTGACCTGGGAAAATCTGTTTTTTTTACATATATTTTTACATACAACATTATTAGTTTTTTATGTGATTATACAACCTTATATAACATTTTTAAATAGATAGTATCATTAAAAGGCCTGAGCAGCAACATAAGTAACAGAATGAACCAGTAATTAAAAGTAACTTATTCAACCATAGTATTGTATTTTTAATAACAGGCCTACTTAAAAAAAATGAATATTTTTTTAGTTCCGAACAGTCTATTCTCATAAGGGAGCTGCAGTGAAAGCTCTGTTGCTGAAAGTTGCATAATTCTGCTTTAAAATCTATAAATGATCCTGGCAAAAAAGTCTTATGTCAAATCTTATGTCAGAACAAATTAACCTAAATGATCATATTTTTTCACCATAGCATCCAAATGTGTTGACCTTTTTCAGTCAGAGTAGGCGTGACTGTCAGCTGACGTAACTTTAAGCCAAAATAGTTGAACATTTATTGATTTTGTCTGTTTTATTTGTCTTTCAAAAACAGAACACTTCCTAAGAAGTTCTATTAGTCATCAGAGTCTCATGCAGCTTAATGACTGTGGGCAGAAAAACGTGTGACTAATATTTTTTTTTAATTTCTGTCCCAAAGTTTGCAGTGAGACTGACCTGAAGGAGGTGGTGAATCGTCTGAGGGACTGGTTCAGAGTGCTACACGAGAATGGCAACCACAAGGCGGTCAAGAAGCCAGAGAAGAACAGTAAGTTTTAAATTACAGGTATATTATGCAAAACTGACTCTTATGAGGTTTTAGCCATATTATAATGTTGTTATCTCCTCAAAAACATACCTGGGGTTGTGTTTTGTTTCATTCAAACATGTTTGAGTAACCCTTTATTATTAATCTGTCTGCATCTCCAAAGCTCAAAATGTTCTTTTCCAGCTTGTCATGTCATGAAGTGGTAGTTCATATCACAGTAACAACTACATTTTACATTTTGCTCAATGGAGATAGGAAATTCCAGAGCTGATCTTTCCAAATGATTCTAGTGAACCTGTATTAAGTTTGAAAATAGAGTACATCCTGTATTAGCACATGACATCTGTTTGGGAGATGAATTCAGCCTAAATATGCAAGATTTGTGTGTTAAACATGTGTGAATGAAACGAAACAACTCCAGGTCTGTTTGTGGTGAGGGAACACCATTATATCATAAAGTGGATCAGAAAACTGCATAATATGGGCTCTTTAACATTACTTCAAATTAGGGCTGCTCGATTATGGAAAAAATCATTATCACGATTATTTTGGTCAATATTGAAATCACGATTATTCAAATGATTATTTTTAGTTACATGATGTATTTATTCAGCATTTCACTCTCAAAGAAAACACTTTGTTATTCATAATTTTCTTTCAAACTGAAAATAAATATAGGTTACAAATATGTTCTTTAGAGCAGTTTTGCGATGTATAAAACACAAAATGAATAAAATATACTCTGAACATGAAATAAGGCATAAAAAGACATATATATCCAAAATAAACTATATATCCAGCTGTTCTACAATCTCTATATTTAAAAAATAAAATAAATATACTGATTTATATAAAAAATATCCCAAAATAAACTTTGATAAGCTTTATTGTTTCAACTCGATTATATGAGTTTGGAGATCGTTTGACACACAAATCAAAATAGCAATCAGAGTTCAGTTAATTGCACAGCCTTACTTCAAATACACCTTCACCAGAGTTGCCCTGTTACATAAAGTTTTGTGTTTTTCTTGCAGAGTTTGAAGTGGGCGCGTCACCCATCTGTAAGGACCCTCTTGGCTGGATGTTCTCCCGCCTCGACACAAACTTCGACATGCAGCTCGACCAGTCAGAGATCAAGAGTCTGTACATGGACAGGAACGAACCGTGCTCTGATGCCTTCTTCAAATCCTGCGACACACACATGGACAAAGTCATAACCAGCTCAGAGTGGTGCACGTGCTTCCAGAGATACACAGGTATGTACTGTTTGGAAAAGCGCAATAAAAAAGATCCTATATTTCACAAAATACACTCTTGTGAGCTTTTAGCCATGTTAGACAGTTGTTACCTCCTCAGAAACATACATGGAGTTGTGTTTTGTTTCATTCACACATGTTTGAGTAACCTTTTATTATTAGTCTGTCTACATCTCCAAAGCTCAAAATGCTGAGAGTTTCCTGTTTGAGACAAGAACTTATCCTAAATATGCAGAGTTCATGAGTTAAACATGTGTCCAGGCATGGTTTTGATGAGGAAACATTATGGCGTGGATCAGAACGTAGCTTAATATGGGCCCTTTAAAACTCCTGGTGACAGAGTGGTTAGCCCTCTTCTGTGTTTGAATGTAATTGTGTTAGGTGAATTGGTGACTCATGATCTGCCCATATCTAATCACATGAGCTGTCTGTTAGCTGTAATGAGTGGAAAATACCAAACACACAACATTCTTCACTTATCTCCCTCTACGGCAAAAATAATCTGCTCAAATATTTGAAGATCTCATTTTCTGATCTGTTGTAATGTTTCCTCATCATAAACATACGTGGAGTTGTGTTTTGTTTCATTCACGCATGTTTAACACACAAACCCTTCATGTTTAAGTTGAGCTGTGCTGTCAAACAGAAAACACCTTGTGATATCATGTGGTATTACATAAACATATATCAAGCCAAACTGTTCTTATTTATGCCTGTTTTTAACACATTAACACCTTATTTGACATGTATTATAGGCTTATTTGAAGCTATAAGCATCATATTGTTATTTGATATATCATATGAATCAGTCAATGAATTTAAAGTGTTTTCAGCCAATCACTGATCAAAACAAGAGTCCAGAACAGTCCAACTCCGATCTCTCCGAGCACATTCTTTACTCTTGAAATATGAAATATGAAATAAAACATACACTGTATAAATTGTCATCTATCAGATAACAATTTGACGTGTCAAAAAAGAGCTTATCGCTTCAAATAAGCTTATAATACGTGTCAATAAGGTGTTAACGTGTTAAAAATAGGCGTAAATGTGAACAGTTTGGCTTGCCATACAAACACTCCGCTGTGTTTCTAAACTCCATACACCATCACTAGAATAATTTATATAATTTCAGCCCTGTAATTTCCAATCTCTACTAAACTAAAGGTAAACGATAGCTGTTAACCACGGCTTAATGACATCACAAGGTGGAACAGAGCATTTCGAGCTTTGGAGATGTAGACACACTAATAATAAAAGGATTACTCAAACATGTTATTCTGTACAGACTTATCGCTCTTGTGTGGGGTAAATGGCTGTCTACTGTATAAACCCCACTGTTGTAGACCACCGTACGACATAGTTTTGTGGTTATGAAGTTGTGTCTTTGGAGATGACTCACCAAACAAAGATACTGACAAAAGCAGAAAGTCCACACAAAAGCTGCACAAACACAAACCTTGGAAAAACCAGCCGACTTGAGCAGTTTCTCAGCTCTCCCTTTGTCCCGTCTCTGCAGACTCCCCGTGTAAAGCAGAACTGTCCAGCATCAACAAAAAGCAGTCGGGAAAGAAGCTGCTCGGTGAGTGACTCAGATTACAATGTCACATACAGACTTTTGGAAGCATTTCTTCAAATGCTTCCAATTTCAGCTGCTTTAGATAAACTTTATTGATCCACAAGGGAAATTATTTGGACACAGTAGTTCACATGTCACAATATTATATAACAAACAGCAAAATATAAATGGTAATGATAAATTCCAAATAAATATCAAAATTAGGAAGAGACTCGTGTCAAATAAGGCATAATTATATAAATCTATATGAACAAGTAAAAATAAAATATAGAAATATAGTAATACAAATATATCTCAGCTTTATAAGAGGTCAAAAGCAGTGCAGAGATAATAAGATGATGAAAATATTTAAATATCAATAGATATCGTATTGTTTAATGTGATGATACAGCCTCGATATCGTGGGCTGCTGTATCAATATATGTATTTTACAAAATTATTTTGTTACAGCACTACAGTTTTGTTGCTCATTCAGAGGAAGGGAACTCATTGATGAGACACATTTGACATTTCCACTTTATTGATGATTAATATGGATGTGTTTCACATTAACTTTTCACAAGAAGTGGTTTAACAAAGACTTTTAGTATCACAGTCAAGATTTAGCCATTATTTTTTACTGAACCATATCAAATCAATTTAAAATATATCGTATTGAATTGTATCCCACCGTAAGCTCACAGTATCGAGATATGTATTGTTATGAGGCTTATGTATCGAGGTATGTATCATATCGTCAACTTCTGAGTGTTTGTGTGTGCTTGTAGGTCAGTACTTGCCGTCCTGCGATGAGGAGGGCTACTACAGTTCCCACCAGTGCCACAGCAGCAGCGGGCAGTGCTGGTGTGTGGATCGTTATGGCAATGAGGTGGCCGGATCACGTACCCGCGGACCTGCCGACTGCGGTAGGTCATTCACTAATAACATCCTTTCAGCATTTCTTTGTTTGTACTAAGTTATAAATAACTTCCGATGTGTAATTATGGTCTAGTACTTACAATAGACGCTCCATCGAAGATGAACAGTGATGTGGTTTTCTGCAGAGCTGCCAGTATTTTGAATTAATTATATTTTTGAATAATGATAATAATAGGCTTTATATCTGAAGACCAGCTGAAAAGTGCGGATGGCTGAAAAACAGATTTTAAAATAGTTTTTTAAAAAATGAGAAACTTTGCTGAGAAACTTTGAATGAGTTGTCTTACTTTCTTTTTCTATTCTTCCTTTTCTATTCTTTTTCTGTTTTTTTGTTTTGTTTTGTTTTTTCAACAACCTTCAATCATAAGCATATAAATCACAATTATTTATATCAGACAGTGAAGCAATAATTAGCCAAAATGTGTAAAGCAAGTAAACAAACTCCCCTGTCTGACAAAAAGAATTGTTATTTCTAACAATAAGCACTTCCTGTATTACCACATGACATCACAAGGTGGAACAGAGTGTTTTCCGTTTGAGAAAAGAACTCAGCCTAAATATGAAGGGTTTGCATGTCAAACATATGAATGAAGCAAAACACAACTCCAGATATGTTTGTGATGAGGAAACAACATTATAATATAGATCAGAAAATAAAATAAAATGAGTCCTTCAAGGCACTGGCAACACAGATAAAGTTGTGATAAAGATTTTTTTTTTAATGAGTAAGGGCACAGACTATAGACCCTTCCTTTTAGTATTTTTCCCACCATATAGATGGATTTCTGGGCGACGTCTCAGAAAAGCTGCACGCACAACTGAGGAGCAAAAGATACACAGACAGATACAAGGAGAGATACACAGACAGAGACACAGACACAGACAGAGACACAGACAAAGACACAAACAGAGACACAAACAGATACACAGACAGAGACACAGACACAAACAGAGGCACAAACAGATACACAGACAGAGACACAGACACAGACAGACAGAGACACAGACAGAGACACAGACACAAACAGACAGACACAGACAGAGACACAGACACAGACAGAGACACAGACAAAGACACAAACAAAGACACAAACAGAGGCACAAACAGATACACAGACAGAGACACAAACAGAGGCACAAACAGAGGCACAAACAGATACACAGACAGAGACACAAACAGAGACACAGACAGAGACACAGACAGAGACAGACAGACACAGACAGAGACACAGACAAAGACACAAACAGAGGCACAAACAGATACACAGACAGAGACACAGACAGAGACACAGACGCAAACAGATACACAGACAGAGACACAAACAGAGACACAGACAGAGACACAGACAGAGACACAGAGACAAACAGAGACACAGACAGAGACACAGAGACAGACACCGAGACAGAGACACAAACAGAGACACAGACACAAACAGAGACACAGACAGAGACACAGACACAAACAGAGACACAGACACAAACAGAGACACAGACAGAGACACAGACAAAGACACAGACAGCAGCATTCCCCATGTTACAATGAAAAATTGTTGTGTTGTTAATTGCACAAACAGAAGTGAGAATAGTTTATGGATCAGGCAGCTGGTGCCCACTGCTGAGGACCAACTTACTTAGGCAGCCGGCACGACCACAACTATTCAGGGTTTCTATGTAATTTGTTGTGATGCTTGCCATCCTAAACTAGCAAACTTAGCCTCTTGTACTGTGGACAGCATTGGTCTCCAACCTGTAGCTTGGGAGGTACAGGTAGCTCTCCATCCAATTCCAAGTAGCTAAAGGGATTTCTGAATTCTACGTATTGTGGATAATAAGCGAAATTTGATTAATTACTACCTAACTTGGTGCAACGATAAATGGATAATGGTTTATGTTTTATAAGCGTCGAACTGTTCTCCATCTAAAGCCGTGGCTCTTATATTTACTTAGTTTGTTTGCGACTGCTGAAATTGGTAGCTCTTTGGCATTTTTGTTTGGTAAAGGTAGCTCACTGGAGAAAAAAAGGTTGGAGACCCCTGGTGTACTGTATACTCATAGTATGTTTAGGCAAGTACAGTGCAGTATAGTAGCCAATTCTGACATGTCGTAAATTAATTTGTCGTAAATATTGGAGCTACTTCACCTTAAGTTCCTGTTAATAAGATGATAAAGCAGCTCAATAAAAACATTGCGATTTTCACAAATTTGTTGGACATGATGTCAGCATCCTATAAAACGCTAACCATTCAGATCGCTCATTCATTTTAAACTTTTCTGTCACACATTTGATAATTCTGTGGATGAAGTGACTGACTGGTAGCATAGGCTCATTTGGTCAAGCCGCTATAATGATGCAAATGAAAAGCAGACACAAAACTCACAGACATAATTTTATTAAGCGTTTATATCAGTGGATCATTTTGACATAATATTCAGACATGACAAAGCACCAGGTGAATAAACAACAGTAACGGTAAAACAAGGTGCTGGTGCAACCTGAGACATAACTGGCTAGTCTACCTGCGGCTACAGAATATAATGTTATTATGAGAGCATATTAAACAAATAAGATCCAAACATTACATGATATGTTACTCTAAAGGGTGTCAGCAAGAGTACACAAACCATGTCTACAATGGCCAGTCAACTAGAAAACTGTTTTTCTTAGCACCTCTTGCTCCCCGGCTGCGTGCACATCTCCGAATGTTTGCCAATAGGATACCCATCTATATGTTTATTTCTAGCATTTTCACCATGTCTCTGTACTTTACAAATCTGTATTCATGGCTTCTGTACATGGCTTCTTTATTAACAATATGTTTTCTACTGATGATATTGTTTTTCAGGCGTGATTTTGGAGTCGTCTGGAGACCTGGGCAGCGGAGACCCCCCGGTGGACGCAGATGACGACGACGAAGTCGACGACGAGGACGATGACTACCTGCCCCCGCTTGACCCGGTCATCGACGACGAGTACAACGACGAAGACGAGGACGACGACGACGCTGGCGACGAATACCAGTCGTAATCTTTTGGCCCAAAAGCAAACGAGACCCCTTAACTGCTCAAACTGCACGCACCATGGTGACCCGCCAGGAACAAAACCTAATCGTACTAACAGCCAATAGACTTCTCTCTATATTGTTTGTTGAAAAAAAAAAAAAAAAAGAAAAGAAATATTGCTGGCGATTGATAATTTCTGATCTTATCTCAATATGACTAGGCACTTTTGTTGTTTATTTGTGTGTATATGATGGACTCTCAAAGACCAGCCAATCCAGAGCCTTGGATTCGGTCACATGGGCAAAGCTCTCCCCTGATTGGACAGCCCTTGTCTTCTTCTTTATGTCCTTGTGCAGAGGTATGTTGACGCCCCAAGGCACGCTGTTTTAAAAGACCCCCCCTCCCTTTCTCGCCAGTGTTCCTGTGTATTATAGGTGGGATGTCCCAGATGTAGATAAGGAATTATTGCACTCTTGAAGTTTTCTTTTGATCTATAATTTGTAACTTGTGTCTGTAACTCTATGGAACAAGCAGATAATGTTAGGATTTATTAGGGGAACTAAGGCAGTGTAGCAATCAGAACAGACATGCAAGCTGCTTTTAGTGAAAAACAAATCAAACTGAATAATCTCTAAAGGCTCTGGCAGCAAAGAAAGACAAATTACTGTTTTAGAGAAGAAAAGAAAAAAACATGGCGGAGCAAAATCGATCTATTTTTCTAATCTACTGAATATGAAAGATGAAACAGATTTGTCAAAGCATGTCTTAATACCGTGTAATATTTCTTTCTGTAGAGCCTAAAAAAACCTTTATGGAACTCAATATATTGTAGCTTGAGACGAAAAACAGAATCTCGCCTCAAAACACGTGAGATCAAAACGTTTGCTGACCAGTGCGTCGGCGATCCGTATCTCATTGTTCTTATGGTGTTGATGTTTTTCAGTTTTCTATTTTAGAGTCTTAACGTGTATCTGAACATGCAGTGTAAGAGATGCAAAAAAATAATTATGTTGCACATGTCATAGACCCATGTACGCGCGACCATACAGACCTGATGGAAATGCTTGTGGGGGACGAGGGGTGAGAGGTGTGCCTTTTCGATGATGCCGGGGATAGTAATGAAAAAGCTTGTAAACAGACTCATTATTACAGTAGATTATATTGGCTTTTTATTGTGGATACTAGATCGATACTGGTTTTAATACAGTTTTGTTGTCCCACTTACACCAGTTAGACATAACATTATGACTACTGAACTTTGGTGGGATTTACAGACGGGATGCAGGTTGGTAAAGTTAAATTGTACTCAAGAAAGTTACAAATAATGAAATAATACTACACAAGTTGAAGTACAAAGTAGTGATGTATTACTCAAGAAAGAGTATTTGCGTAAACTAGTAAGAAAAATTGGACATAACAGTTGATAAAAGACTTTCGGAAATGCAATTTAAGTATAAAAACATTAAATATTGAACAAAATCTTGTATTTTCAAATGATATATCACAAAAATGAGTAAATTATATAATATTGTCAACATAAAGTTTTTACCTAAATAGGAGAACTGTTACACTATCAAATATTACTTGTTACTTTAGTAGAAGTATGGTGCCTAAAAACTACCAGAAAAAATATGTAAATGCCAGAGGCGGCACTACCATTAGGCAAAAGTAGGCGGCTGTCTAGGGCCCTCAAACCTGGAGGGGCCCCCAACCAATTGATTTGAGTGCCACTAATGCCTGAGGTTTCCAGTCCACCATAATTCACATAAATAAAGATGTGCATGTCTCAAGAACAACGGGGAAAAACAGACAATAAATATATTAAAAACAAAACAAAAAAACTGTATTATAGTGAGGGCCCCAAACTCAAGTTCCCCTCGGGCCCCCAAATTGTTAACACTGCCAGTGGTAAATATAATACCCACTTCTGGATCTCTGGATGCCAAAAAATAAAGAAAATAATTTGATTAGATTTAGAGTAATTTTAAAGAGGTTTAAAAATCAGCAGATAAGAGATAGAGATGAGAGATGGTCGCCCACATGGCATTTTAACAATTTAAGTACAACAAACATGCATAATAAATCATGATTTCTGGAAAAAAATATTTGGTTTCTTGGAGGTCAGAGGTACTACAGATACGTGGTGAATTATTATGAAATTTGAAAATTTTTAAGTGAAGAAATTGGAATTGGGGCAGAAAATGTAGGCGTCGTGTCATGGACTCATTAGGCACCAACTTCAGTACAAAAATAAAAACTTTTTGATAATTTCTGCGTATCCAGACCAAGAAATGAAAATGAGTTTAGCATGGACCAGCGTGCAAAAATAGGTGGTCACAATGTTATCTCTACAAGGTGTACAGTTACATAATACAGATCACTTTAATATCGGGATGCTACATGTGGGACAAAAGCACAGACAGACACAGTTAAGACGTAGAACAGTGGATTATATTGGATTTTATATCACACATTGGCTAAGATCCGTGAGCTTTGGTTTCTACAGCTTGATAGAAAAGAGCTGCTTATGTTACAATGACATTTGCTTTGATTTGATTTGTACATGCTGTAATGACTTTTAGTGTAATTCAATGTAAAACGGGCTGATCGCCGGACTGCACATACAGATCCGGAGACAGCCTCTATACTAATACATTCACTTAACATTTTCAGAGATTCCATGTTGAGAAGTGCCATCTAAATGTCCTGTAGATCTAGTGTCTTTCTTTTAAAGGCGCACTGTGTAACTTTTCTGGTAGGTGTTCCGCCACAAACTTGTTTCCATGGAGATATTATCGTTTTTGCCCAAAAGGTTTTACAGTATGGCCTTAAACGAATCTACTGTATGTTGCTTTTGTCCAGTTATGGGTGTTTTATTGCTCAAAAATACTGTCAGAGTTCCCACGGTCATGGAAATCCTGGAAAAGTCATGGAAATATGTAAATTCAATGACATTTTTGGAATTTTAGTGTCTCTTTCACTCAGTTACAGCATTCTGTTAAGTTATCATTAGGGTATTATGATAAATTTGTAAACATATGCGCCTTTTTTTTTTTAAAAGAGATGACAATAAATGCATTGACAGTATTTTGAATGTTAAAAAATCTATAATGCCAAACCTTAAGGTGAGTGGAAAGGGTTAACATTTCATATTTAGCCCTAAAAGTTTGCTAAATTTATGAAGGGTGCCATAAAGTCATGGAAAATTCACTTTAGGTCACAAAAAATCATGGATAAGTTTTGAAATTTTGTCAGTGAAAAGCGTGCGAACACTGTGTTGCGAAAAACTTGCATTCCTACAGTGTGTGAGCTTACCTCTCCACAGATCTGACCTTTCATTTGGACTGGAGGAATTGGTGGCTTGTCTCCACGGTCAGATAAGTTTAATGCTATACTGTGGGACATTCTAGTCAATGCAGTAAGATTTCCACGAAGCCAAGCACCAGAAAGTTACACAGTGCGCCTTCAACTTGGAATTTCGCCGCACTTGAAGCTCCGCCTCCAGGTTCAGTTCAAGTCTCGTATTTTTGTTGATTTATTTTATTTTCCTGTGTGTAATAACAAACGGTTTGAAAATGACCTCAGACACTGTAGCCACTCCAATCACACACTCTGTCATCACTTTGGATAGCGTTAGGTTACGCTACAGATTACATTTTTTACAGTGTACGTATGATTTGCTGAAATAAAAGCTATATTGACAAATGAAAACGGACTTCAGTTTGTGTTTGTGGGGTGGTCCTACTTCTCCAGATCTGTAGAGGTTCGACTTGCACGTCGTGACTTGGATTGGAGTCAAACTATTTTTAGGACTTTAACTTGATTTGAAGACTTGAGACTCAATTTGGACTTCAAATGGTGAGAGGTTTGCCTTTTTGATGCTGGGGAGTGTAATAAAAAATCTCATTATTGCAGTAGATTATATTAGCTTTTTATTGTGGATACTAGATCGATATTGGTTTTAATACAGTTTTGTTGTCCCACTTACACCAATTAGACATAACATTATGACTACTGAACTTTGGTGGGATGTTCCGACGGGATGCAAGTGGGTAAAGTTAAATTGTACTCAAATAAATTACAAATTATGAAATAATACTACTCAGAAGTACAAAGTAGTGATCCATTACTCAAGAAAGAGTATTTGCGTAAATTACTAAGAAAAATTGGACATAACATCTGATAAAAGAGTTTCCGTAAATGCAATTGGAAGTTAAAAAAAATTTTAAATAATGAACAAAATCTTACATTTTCAAACGATAGACCACAAAAATTAGTAAATTATATAATACTGTCAACATAAAGCTTTTGTTCCTTGTCGTGGGGAAACTTTTACCTAAATACACTATCAAATATTACTCATTATTTTAGTAGAAGTATGGAGCCTATAGTCAGACTTGAGTCACTATTTTTAGGACTTGAGACTTGACTTGAGAAAATAGACTAAGACTTGGGACTTTACTTGGACTTGAAGCTCATTGACTTGGGACTTGACCTGGACTTGAGCCAGGTGACTTGAGAAAACTTTCTAATCTGACCGTAATGATTCGCACTAAGATCTTGACAAGACTTTAAAAAGGAAAAATTTACATTTCTACAACTCTTATAAATACTCATACATAAATATACCATGACTTTTTATCCACTCCAATCCTTTTTATTTATATAGCACATTTCACAAACAAACACAAGCAAAGTGCTGCATACAGTACTAACAACAAAAATAATATAATGATTAGGGGTGTCAAATTATCGCGTTAATTGCGATTAATTAATTACAGTCATATTTAGCGCGTTATGTTTTTTAATCGCGTTAATCTCATTTTTAATCTATAACTTTAGTGTTTCTGTATGTGAGTTGTTTTATTATAAAACCTGTTTTTATGTGTTGTTGGGACAACATCAACACACACACAAACAAAAAACACATTTATACATTTTTTAATTTCGGCAATTCCACTCATTGTCGGAAACCCACACAAAACACGCGCAGTAAGAGCGACGTTTACGGCGTCAGTCGCACAATGGACGAGGTCGAAGAGCCAGTAGAACAGAGGCAGCAGTGCACAGGTAAAAACGCATTTGTGTCTTGGAAATTATTCTCCCGACGTGAAATATAAAAGAAAATAACAAATATAATATCGCCTACAACTTAAATGTCACTGGTGAAAACAACCTGCATAGGCTCATGATGTCTGCACTACTGTCCTATAGTGACCTGCCACATGAGGGGACACGCACACACACACACACAAACACAAACACACACACACCTTCATCATCGTCATTAACCTGAGAACGCGCGGACCACGTTTCCTTCCGTAGTTACTGCGCGGACACCGACGTGCTCCCGTGAGCCGCGTGTGGATCGTGTTTTCTCGCGTACGCGGCGTAAACCGCGCTTCCTCCTGTGCGCCTCTAAACCAGAACTAACACCAAGACTAAAACCAGGACTAATTCAGTCCAGGACTAAACCAGGACTAAACCAGGTCTAAACCAGGACTAAACCAGGACTAAACCAGGACTAAACCAGGACTAAACCAGAACTAACACCAGGACTAAAACCAGGATTAATCCATTCCAGGACTAAACTAGGACTAAAGTAGGACTAAAGCAGGTCTAAACCAGGACTAAAACCAGTGATTTCATATATAAAGCATTTCTCTATCAATAATATTTTTAATATGGTTAAGGAAAGACTGGACTTTTTATTGTCTTTAAGTAGACAAAAGTTATTATGTTCAGATTTCCTCGTCTTTGCTACTTTACAACAAACAGTTTCTTATTCATGGAGACTTGGGCTCAACAGCCAATTTGGAGAGATTTGTTAAACAATAAATGACTTTATAAAGTCACTTTTTTAAATCTATATCAGTCTTTTGATCTGCCACAATAATGTAATAATGAATTTAAATGAAAATACCTCAAATTGAAGGCTTTTCTCAGCAATTTTTAGGTGAGATTAAAATTAGATTAATTAGATTAATTAATTACAGATCATAATTAATTAATCTCTCAATTTTTTTTAATCGCATGACAGCACTAATAATGATACAATATAGATTTAATCATATTAGAAAACATTAAAACCAGTCAAATAAAATAAGAGCAAACCCACAGAATAGTAATAATTTAAAGTACAGTTTAGTTTAAAAGTCTAAAATTTAAAGTACTTTTGGTTTAAAGACTTGAAATGACCTGAAGCTCAAAGCAGACAACTTGGTCTTGACTTGGACTTATGGGCCAGAGACTCGAGACTTGACTTGGACTTGCCTGTATTTGACTTGGGACTTGACTCGGACTTGAGGTCAAAGACTTGAGATTTACTTGAGACTTGCAAAACAACGACTTGGGCCCATCTCTGCAGATCTGAGACAGGATTTTAATCTAGACTAGAGTTGTCTGATTCTCTGCAGCTGATTTTATTAATATTTCTTGGGGATGTGAAGCTAAATGTAGGCACTGCTCTGTCTTTATCAAATTAGACTTTAATCTGAGCTTTGTTTTAACACGATCTGACCAGAAAGATCTGATTTAGCTGGAGGTACAACTGTTGAGCTGATTTGTGCTGTTAAACACGCCTCTCACACATAAAATAAAAAAAATAAAATTAATCACAAGCTCTCACTCTCATCTTTTTGTTGAAAATCAAACACATAAACAGGACCATAAACGCTCGAATTGATCACAGAGCTCCTCATAGAAAATGTGTTGTTTAAATCCATTTTGTATCTTGGTTTTTTTTACTATTCCTCTGAAAAAAATCAGGCTGTGTTTGTGCCGAACATACCACCATAGATATCCATACAAAACACCCCAGCGTGGTGACACTGCAAAGTATCAACCTAGAAGAAAAGTATGAAATTCCAGAAAAGAAACACAGAGATAGAAAAGTATATGTTAGGACTTGTGAAAAAAATAAAATAAAATAATAGTAATAATAATACAAATGTGGTTCGATTTGCAAATTATGCGCAAAAGGTCAGATCCTGTTTCAAGTGCAATTGCGAGTCAACTCCAGGAGCATGAACATTTAAGAAGACTGAAATATGAACAAAATAAACTAATAAGAATCCTACTTACTTCATTAGAACAAGCTTCTAGAGGTCTAAACTACACGCACAACAAGATTTTTCCTGGATATTTTGGTTCTTTGGAGAGGACATCTATAGAAATAAGTTGATAATTTGGTTTAATTTAATAACAGCTCCTCAAATTGCAGTGTCAATACAACTGTGATATACTGTGTAGCCTTAATAAACATGGGATCTTCTTACTAAGTGCTATGAGGTATTCTACTGTAACACCACTACTACTGTTACACACGACTGCAAACAAGCTCTGAATTGGATGTGTTGAAATAGGAGGACACGCACACACATTAGTGAAACAACTCAATTTGTTTTCCCAAAGCAGGACAAAGAAAAAGCTCAAACATAACTCAATTAACTCTCAATGAGAAAATAAACATAGTATTAGTATAATAGAAAACTCTTGTTACTTTGCAGTCTGTAATAGCCTGGTGGCAACCTTAGCGGTTTTAGGAGGAACAGAGTCAAGTTGAGCCAGTTTACAGTGCAGATCCCAGTACATTTATTAAAGACAAAACAAAAAAACTATTTACAAAAGTTCCAAAAAGGTTAAAAACCAGGCATAGCGGTTACCTGCGCTCACACAGCACCTCTCCCTGAACAAGGTGAGGCTGGCTTCTTTTAAAGGCCCTGTCCTAATTGGGTGAGCCCACTTTAACGATCAGGTAAGCACCAATAATTTGTACATTTAATATCTAAAAACCAACTATCAAAACAGTGCCCAAATAACATCCAATTACATCAACTACCAAAATATATATATCTTTATTTAAATTAGCAGTGTTCAATGTTTTAAAATACTAAATAGAACCAGTTAAAAATTTGTGCTCCCCTCCTCCAAACACATGGTTGGCTGCCCCGGAACCTTCTTAAGGTGCTCTGGCTCCCCGGGGACTCTTTTGGCCGGAGCACCTGAGGCAGACCACACCAGAGGGTAAGTACAATTACTTCGATTTAAATGCACTTTTACTTTTTTCCTTTTCTTTTACAGGTAACTTCAATCTGCACATAAATTTTCAATAAACATTTCTAAAACTTTGTTTCAGTTCCTCATTTTACCTTTTAACTAAGTAATGGACTGGCTACATTACACAGTCCAATTGTTATGTGATTTAAAGGTTCCATATTATGTTTTTTCCTCATCAAAAACATACCTGGCGTTGAAATCCTACGTAGAAAAACACTCGGTTCCACCTTGTGATGTCATGTGGTAATACAGGAAGCGCACCACCGTGTTTCTAAACTCCATACACCTTCACTAGAATAATTTAGATAATTTTAGTTTCCAATCTATTGATCAAAATGTATGCGTTTGAGATGTTGACAGAGTAATAAACCAGGATTACTTAAACGTGTGTGTGTGAATGAAACAAAACACAACTCCAGGTTTGTTTTTGAGGAGGTAATAACACACAGGACTCAATTTTGCGTAATATAGGACTGTGGTTTATCATTGGCATCCATGCTTTTCTTGAATTTTTTTTTTTTTAACATCACTTTTTATTATTATTTTTTCTTTTGCATTAAAGTTTATTGGAAACAAAGGAACAAAATATATCGTACATTGACACAGCACGTCAATTACAGTCCCCTTTCTCTTTTTCTAAATATATTATAGAA